TTCATTATTTTTATCCGCACAACAGTATCAAACGTTAATGCACAACTAGCCATGCCAAGACATGGCCACTACCCTCGTCCAAAGTAAAATACAAGGTCCTCATTCTTTAATGATTATGTTTCAATTGATTTAGTTTAGTGATTTAAATGTAGGAAAATGAGTCGCTGTGATGTCATATCTGGCGCAGCAATTTCAGAGTCACTGCAAAAAATTGAAACATCAGTCGGATCATAAGACTAAATAAAAAAGCTATTTAGGGATGAATAACATTCGGTGAAATCCGTGATATCGTTATATCATTCGTTAATTGTCAAAGCTGCGCCCATTTCTCGGTGCAGGCAGATATAAGGCGGCCAGACTGGGCATACACAAAATGTATTGTATGTGCTCCTTAGGTTGCACTCGGGTGCTATCAACATCGAACACACACACGTTTAAGATACACAGAGATAATTAAGGGATGAGTGACGAAGGGATGTTAAAAACAGGTGGCTATTGCAATTGATATTTTAATGTAACTTTAGTATGTAAGAATCTTTTCATCAATAAAAATAACATCTTAGATATTACAGCTACATGTACAATGTGAGTGTATTTAAAAATGTAGTACATAGCTAGTTCCATCTATAAAGATGTCTGATGACAAAAAGCTCAATTTTCCTTGATGTCGTGGTCAATGGGACTTTAACACGTGAACTAATGTTTTTTATTTTTTTGTTTTAAAGTCACTTATAGCAAACCTAATCTAACAATTATCTCACTATATGCTTATGACATATTCATGTATACGTTGTTTGTCTTTTTTTCAAATCAACCCACGGAAATATGCAATACACCAAGTTAAAAAAGTGGTACGAATCATAAAAGCGACGTTGGGTGTTTCACTAGTAATTTTTATATGAAAAATCTAGAAATATTACCCAAATTAAACTATGACTATTCAAAAGAAGACATTCAAATCTATATTATGTAAAAAAATCAAATTTGTCCGAAGCAGGGATAACGCTAAATTAGAGTGACGAACTTTGTTCTCCAAACCGAGAATGGTCTTTTATGAAAAAAGTTATGAAATCACATCACCAGATCATGTAAAGCTGTTTTACCTAAAAGATCGTTTTATCTTCACCCTTCGATTGGATTTCATGAAAAAATATTTTTATGAAAAAATAGGATTTGTAGGATATCGACGCTCTAACATGTAGTTTTAATCACACGCAGGTATCTGGTTTTATTGCGTGTAGAATGTATCGATATCAGGACCGCTACATGCCAGTGACCTTGCTCCTTTCTGTCGTATTAAAAAAGCAAAAATAACATATCACGGTGGGGTGCGAACCACTCGCCTGGGACTTGGTTATTCACTAGTACCATAGGCGTTCATCTATTCTGGATACAACTGACGACTTGTATTTACGTGCAGTCAAAAGTGAAGATCATTTTGAAATGACGCTTGGTATAAATATATAATACTTTTATCCTCTTGTATCGGTTGCACGTTAGCCTCATGGCTAACGTGCCTAGCTTCCATGCTCTAGGTTAGTCGATCGAGACCCGTTCATGGCGAATTTTTTGATTTGCTTGTTGTAAAGATATTATAAGTAGGGCAAAATCCAGAAAAAGTAGATCAAAAATACTCCAATGGAGTATAAAATTGTCACCAGGATTCCGAAATGAGACGAATGTAAACTCGTTAAATCTCGGTAGATGAAGTAGGTCAGAAAATCCGGATTAATCCGAACAAGGTTCGGAAATCTTCGTCATAAGAAGTAGATCAAAAATACTCCAATGGAGTATAAAATTGTCACCAGGATTCCGAAATGAGCCGAATGTAAACTCGTTAAATCTCGGTAGATGAAGTAGGTCAGAAAATCCGGATTAATCCGAACAAGGTTCGGGAATCTTCGTAATAAGAAGTAGATTAAAAATACTCCCAATGGAGTATAAAATTGTCCCCAATATTCCGAAATACGACGAATCGAATCGGCAAACTTCGGTAAAATAATGAATTGCATAAAAACCGAAATGATCCGATGAACGTTCGGATAAAATCGTGAACAGGTGTCAGGGGTTTCCCCTCATCTTTCCCCACATTGTTCTAAAAGCCTTATATGGATTTATCACGTAACATTCAAAATGACGTTCCTATATGGTTCTATGGGTTCGAACACGTGACCAAATATACCAAATAAAAATTTTACCTTGACCACTGGATGGGATTTCATAGAAAATATCCAAGAAAACCTATCCTCGTGATCCTTAAATCACTTAAAGTAACTTTCTATGATTTTATCTAAAAATTAAAACCTTTGGAAATACTAAATATGGTTTAGGTGCCATATATAAAAATTTATTTTAGAAATATTGTGGATCAAAATGAAAAAAAAAACAAAAATAAAGAATAAAAACATATTCCACTGGAGGGATTTGAACCCAGATCTTTAGGATAAAGGTTGTTTTATTCAGTTTTCATTTTGGGTATGACTTCCTGTCAAAACAGTGCTAAAAATGCAGGGCTCAACAAAAATTTTCAATTAGAAAATGATATATATCCTTTGATCAGCTGTTTTTGGCACCTGGACTCATCCTACTAGAAAGGTAAGAGCATTTTCTTGAGACATATGGCTCGAAATCTCACATTTCTCCTTCTAAGTCTTAGAAAGACACTTTAAATTCGATCATTTTATTTTCACCCCTTGATGGAATTTTATGAAAGAAGTCATGAAAACACATCATCATGTAAGGGTTTTCACCTAAATTAGCTCGTTTTATCTTGAGCCTTCAATTGAATTTCTTGAAGAAATATTTTATGAAAAAATATCATCATGTTATGATTTGTATTTAAATAAGACCGTTTCATCTAAATACTTGGATAATATTTCATAAAGAATGCACTTTAAAAATTTTCAGAATTTGCCTTAATTTATCAATGTAATGAAAGTATAAGATTAACTCTCAAATAGCGTTCTATTTTAACCTTTTTATTGAAATCAATACAGGACTCGCTCTCTAAATATCCAATAAAAATTCAACCCTTGGATGTGATTTCGTTGGAAAAAAAATATGTCAAGTCCAGAATCAAATGATTTGTCCAGAACCTCTTAAGATCCTGTTTTACCAATAAGTGGTATGTTCGTCCCATATTGTTCGGAATCTGATTGGGTTTCTAGCCTTAGTGATACTAATGATAACAGTTTTTTATCTTTCGGTATTAGCCCTAATGTATCCAGGGGGAGGGGTCAATTCGACCCCCCCCCCCTCGATTCTTTAAAGAGTACTTTTTGCAAATTGATTTTGCGTCTCCGTTAATTTGTTCAGCTTGAGCCACAGATATAGATTTAACTACCCAAAATTCTTATTTCCACGATGTAGAATTTCAAAATATTGAGTACCATTTATTTTTATAATGGACTCAGATGGGAAAATAACTTAATCTGAAGTATTTTCAATATAAAAACCACCGTACTGTTTACACAAAACCTGAAAAACGTAAATCATTCATCAAACCTTGTAGTAACAGATGGAACGGGGTGGCTTTCATTTTTCATGTAATTCTCAATATTACAAAGTGAATAAAGAATGATTACCTTTTTCATATGTACAGCATAAGTAAAACAATAAATGATACACGTGTTCATTGTCAGCTGAAATTGTATATTTCAGAATACACTAATTTGGCCTATTTTACGATAAAACTACAAGTTGTCCATTATAAATAGTAGCCTACTGATGCGTTCCCCAAATAATATTAATATAATTATGAGTAATTATATATATAGAGAGGTTTCGCAACTCACTTATCGCACTTTAACTATTTTCTAATAATGTACAACTTATGATGCGTTTGGTTGTGTCATTGGAGAGGTTAAGCAAATACGGTTTTTCAAAACGTATACGTAAACGCAAAGTACATTGAATCAACATAGGATTGTATCGCTTTAGTCTACTTCAGATACCCGTTCAACTTCAAAGTTGCGTGTTTAGAACGGGAGATTTTAAATTTCCACGTTGCTATCAACGGGAATCATTATACTCATGTCTGTTGAATACTATCCTTGGAATTTTGATTTCGATGCAAAGTATAATTCTTTCTGAAGAAGATGATGTATGTAACGCATGATTTAACTCCAATAATCTACGAAACGAGCTCGTTTAAAATATGTATTAGAAAACCAGCTATTGAACTTCATCAATGGCATGCTATGTAATCATTACAAGCTATGGTGTAGTCTAAACAAACACTAGAGCTGAACGGCTATTTATGTGTGAACTCTACATGTATTTGTATAGGGCCGATTGATACGTTTAAGTTGCGTTCTGGATTTTATACGGTAGCTTAACCTCTCCATTATTCATTGCTTGCGCCACTCCTTACGTCCATAAGAGTGGTAGTCTTATAAATCGTCTTCTATACGTACGAATATGGAGGTTAAGTTATACTTTAAAAAAACGTGCACGTGAATGTGTAGAATTTTGGACCTCGGTGGATTAGTTCTCCTATTTGCAGGAATTACTTGGTCGATGGAGTATAAAAGTATATCGTTAATTTTCCTAATCAGGCCCCTGGGAAAGTGAATTGAGAGCGGGGGTCAAAATACTACACGCCCACGTACAGGTTTTCTTAAAAACGTGTAACTTAACTCCCTATTATCACACTTATGAACGTATAGAGAGCTGCGAATTAATGATATGTCCAAAACCACTTGGATGTGATTGAGGTATATCAGTCTGTCTGGTGTACTAAAAATTAATTGCCTAAAAGTGTGTATTATGATCTTGATAACCACCTCACAAATTATTTTGGAAAATAAAGATTTTTTAGATATCTTCTTTCGAATGTTGACGCATTTGCTGAGCCTGACTGATATACGCAAATGAAGGTTGTGCATGTTTTCAACAACGGGTAGAATATCGCCCAATGGGCTGAGTAATCCAGTCACTGGACACTGAAAAAATTATAATAAGTTAATGTGTATTAAATTATCTCACTTAACTCATTTTAGGAAGCGTTGATGTGGATGGATTTGCTGTAACACATGGTGGTAAAATGCAATGTAAGACTGTCATTCACATGGATGTGACATCGAGTCGCAAAGATTGGAAGGAAATGGTTATAGCCTGTTTGGAGAAAACAGAAGCTTTGAAATTATCTTCGGTTGCTTTTCCTGCTTTAGGAACAGGTAGATCATCAACGTGTTGAGAACGAGGTAGAACTGATTGCAAACGGGTTTAAACTGATTAAGAACGTATTTAACACTGCTCATGAACGAGTCAGCAAAAATATAGCTATCACACCAAACAAGTTGTCACTGCGTTCGACAAAACTGGTTTTAAACTGTGTGCGAACGGAATGAACATAGCTGCAACTTTCTAAGGTCTTTTTACGAACTTTATGAACGTTCTCAGATGGGAAGGTGATTTTAGAATTTTGAATCGATTCAAAATTCGATGGCGACCATACCGTTCTGTAATAAGGTCATGATGACCTTCTAGACTAAGGGACGCGTTACACGACGTTGCACACCGACCTGGTGCGACCTGAACGAACTGCGAATGAGATGGACGTATTGAAGACTGTTTATGAACGAAGTAGCTAATTATTTTAGACATATTTCCCGACCACAGCCAGATTGAGCCCGTTTTACGACGTTTTCGTAGGACTGGCAAGAACGGGTAAGAACTAGTTGGGTGTGATAGGGGGGTTAGAGCATTCTAAAAAAAATTCTGGTAGTCACGACATTCTGCAATCAGTGGAGAGGTTAAGCTACCGTATAAAATCCAAAACGCAACTTAAACGTATCAATCGGCCCTATACAAATACATGTAGAGTTCACACATAAATAGCCGTTCAGCTCTAGTGTTTGTTTAGACTACACCATAGCTTGTAATGATTACATAGTATCCCATTGATGAAGTTCAATAGCTGGTTTTCTAATACATAGTTTAAACGAGCTCATTTCGTAAGATTATTGGAGTTAAATCATGCGTAACATACATCATATTCTTCAGAAAGAATTATACTCTGCATCGAAATCAAAATTGCAAGGATAGTATTCAACAGACATGAGTATAATGATTCCCGTTGATAGCAACGTGGAAATTTAAAATCTCCCGTTCTAAACACGCAACTTTGAAGTTGAACGGGTATCTGAAGTAGACTAAAGCGATACAATCCTATGTTGATTCAATGTACTTTGCGTTTACGTATACGTTTTGAAAAACCGTATTTGCTTAACCTCTCCAGTAAGAGTGACAACGAACTCAAGACGAGCTTGGCGTACTATGAACGGAACCGTCGTACTTCAATCCTACTAGGGACGTTTCCAACAGGAGTTGGACTGTCTTCGGACGCATTGAGAACGAGGTAGAACTAATTGCAAACTTACTTACCCACTTACTTACTTAAAATCTGATGCCTAGCATACCGTTCTGTGATAAGATCGTGTGACAACGTACTTCAAATGAAATGACCTACTAAACTCGGAAAGTAATCGCCTTACTTCTACCCAACTTGGGACGCTTTAATGACGTTTTTCAATCAGATATCAATTGCACTTGCATGTGTACACCATTATAACATGACCTGAACGAACCGTTAATGAGATTGTATTGAGGACTGTATTTAAGACTGTCTATGAACGAAGTAACTAATTATCTTAGACATATTTCCCGACCAAAGGAAGATTTAGCCCGTTCTATATTTTTTATGTAGGACTGGAAAGAACGTTTAGTTTGGTGTGATAGGGGGGGGGGGGGTGATAAGGAATGAAGGCGTCAGGGCTTGATCATATCTTGTACAGGGTGACCCAAAAAAAATGCAACCCTCCATTTCTTCAATATTTTTCTTAAATGGAGGTAAATTGCTCTGAGATTTGGCACACAAGAACTACATTCAATGTGGGATCCTCTGGCAAAGTTTTAATAACGATAGTCTTATATTGATCGAGTTATGGTTGTTTCAAAATATGCTCCATATATCGTCAATTTCGCTGAAAACAAACTTGCAATGTTCAAGGAAAACTGTTCATAACACGGATGCATTCTTCCCCATGGGTATGGCTCAATTTTTTGCAGGAATGCTTGTTGGAGTTCTGCAATTGCAGTAGGGTTATTTTCATACACATTATCCTTTAAATAACCCCATATATAGAAGTCAGGGGCATTGAGATCAAGACTGTGGGATGACCATGGGTTCTCCATCCTAGGAGAGATAATCTCATCATAGAAATGACTAGTGAGCCAGGCTATGCTATCATAAGAAGTGTGAGGAGTAGCCCCATACTTCTAGAATCACTGTTCTTGTCTATTGAAGCCTGTATGTCTAGAACTGCCTAGAACTTCCTGGGAATGCCAATATTGCGCTGTGTGGTAACAGTAACAGTGTTGCCATTATCAACCTCAAACCAAAAGGGGCTGATGATTTCATGTTTTGAAATTGGCAGCCCAAGCTGTGTATTTAACAGAATGAAGGGGCCTTTGAAGCACTTCATCTTGAATTTGTGATCCCAGAACACATTATTTCTTGAGTTTACATGTTCAGAAAGAAGGGAATGTGATTCTTCCGAAAACCTAACATTGGAAATGCACATCATTTGGAGCATATTTTGGAACGACCTAACTCTATCAATATAAGACTCTGATTATTGAAACTTTGCCAGAGGATCCCACATTGAATGAAGTCCGTATGTGCCAAATTTCAGAGCAATTCACCTCCATTTAAGAAAAATATTGAAGAAATGGAGGGTTGCATTTTTTTTGGGTCACCCTGTAGATGTCGACGAGCATTTGCCAAATGATTCTAGTTCCCGTTGTATCCTGTAGATTCTAGTTTTCGCACTTGTTCTAGTGTATTTATTTGCAGGTTCGATGATGGTATCACCTGAAAATATCGCGAGACAAATGATTGGAGGCATTGCCGAATTTGATAATAAGGTCCAGCCTCGACATGTAAACCTTGTGAAGATATTCGTCTTCCAGAAAGTACACGCAAAACCTTTCAGTGACGCGATGCAGGCTTTGATCGGTCAGACTGATTCATACACAACACCCCAAATTGGAGGTAAAGGACCAAGAGGTACTATGCTGCTTAAATATATATTAATCATGTATCATTCTCTATTGGAAATATAAACGCATCAGTACAAGTACTAACCTATAAACATAATTCATGAAGGCGAATCCTGGGTGCATCATCAGAATGGGTTAGTAAATATACGAATGTTTTCTTTATTTTTTATTGAAATTCAAACATGGACCCTGGTTAATGATGAAGCAGAACAATTCAACATTCACATAAAGCTTTTTATCTTTAAAAATGAATCTCCTGTCGTTTTTGTGCTAATCAAATGCACTTAGGTTATTGGGAAACTGCTTGTGAAGGTCAGATTCAAAAGCACTTCAGAAGTTAACGTTTATTGAATTGTGCGCGGTACATACACTTTATATAGGAGAATTCACCATCAGTGTTAGATCCAAAGAAACCCATTAACGATAATACATGATAACAACATTTGAAATAACGTCTCATACCAATAGTAGTATCAAGCCATATAGGATGATGTCTTGCTACTCGTACTTGCATTCACTTTTATCGTTACATAGGAGGTTGGAGTAAAACGAACGAAAATGGCAAACCAGTACTTCCAAAGACGGTTTCAAGACATGGTAAAGAAAAGGATACTGTTGTATCCACAATTGCTATTTACTCAGACAGAGAAGAACGAATTCAAGAAGCAGAAAAAAGCCTTGTAGATCATATGAATAACATATATAAAGAGGAAGAGATGCATGTCAAAGAAATCGCTATGATTGATGAACAGAAGGTTGGTACAATTTCATTCAAATTAACTTATTAGCGGATGTGAGAGGGGAGAGAGAGGGGAGAGGGAGAACTGCCTTATATGGGTCATAAATGTTATGTAACTTTGGAAATCAGGTATTCCGTTATATCACCGTGAACGTTTTAAGACATTTAACAATAACATATTTTATAATATTTTATTTAGATAAACGACGAAGCTGATACAAACAACATCTGGCTAGAAATAAAAGGCAATACAATAAGATTTCGAGGGCTGAAAGATAACGTTATGGCTATGGAAAACTACCTTCAAAAGCTTATTTTACAAGCTATAAGCGATGCGCGTGAAAAGGAAAAGTATCAACATGAAATGACAGCACTTCGCGAGTTAGCCAGAAGGGTAAGTGTACAGTTGGACAATATCTTATTTTCAACTTGGAAGACCTGAATATAGATGTAACTGCAACAGCTTTTTTCTACCAACAAATTAAACAGGTCATTTCATAAAATTATTCACGGCAAACGTAGCATTGATGAAGTTATACTCTACAATGTGCCCTTTATTCAATATTCATCCCTCTCTAAAAATTCCAATTGACAAATAAGTGTGGTACTACTGAGCTGCAAATAATTTAAACCATCAATGCAAAATCGTTCTGACAGTGTGACAATATTTCTTGGTTCTTTGTGGGTACTATTGTTGATGGTAATTTTTGTAATGGGGATAAATATAGGTACTTTCAATGATATAAATATTTCCTTTTCAATGGATTCCTCACCCTGGGAAATACTTTGTTGTACTCCACTCATATTTAAGATCTTATGCATTCTGATCTCCCACCTTACTTATTTGATAACTGTTTTTTTTCCTATGACAAAAATATACCTTAATTTAAAGGGACCCAACACCATGGTCACATGATCAGTCGTGTGGAGGTAAGCTCCCAGTTGAAATAAAATCACTGTCCTCCTTTGGTTTCTGTGAAAAGTAGCTAATACCCTCATGAATTGGTCAGTTTGTGTGTCACACGACTAATCCCCACCATATGCTTCATTCAACATATTTTATGCTATTGAGCTGCATATATAAACAGTACTTTGCAACTAAGGTCATACAGTATACTTACCCCTTGCAAATTGTAATTTATTGAATTCACAGTAAACCCATCAATTTTTAAGAAAACAAAGAATATTGTTCTCATGGATCTATTATTTATGTTAGACTAACTATGAAAATATAAATATGAAATAATATGTTAGCTTGAAGTCATATATAAGATGAAAATATATGTTCATGCATTTGCATTTTTCCAAAGGGAATATTCCCATGTAAGTAAATACAGGTGCAATATATAATTTATATGTATATCTATGTCGTCTGTCTATACATGCGCGTATAGCCTAGTGTTACATGTGAACAAGATGGTTCTGGAAAGAAATGAGGGTGGCAGATTTGCTTAAATGCCACATACACCACAAAAGCAAGACCAATTTGAAAGTAAGTTCATTATTCTCAAGGGTACACTTCAAGTGAAAGCTACATTGCTACAGGGTGGCCTATCATTCTGAGACAAATGTATTATCCAACGATTGTGATTTTCGAAGCTAAAATATGATATCTTGAGCAGATGGAAATACATTCCCATGAGATATGTATATATAGTCAAAAGTGATAACTATTTATTGAGTGTAATGAAATGTATCCTTCGCTAACTGCTTTTGTTTGAGATAATTATCATGAAATGTTTTTAAATCAATTTTTATGTGTGTCATTGATCCTAATCCACCCTGTAGTCTGGTGTTTGTAGAGCATTGCGACTCGTACAACTTATTCTCACAAATATCAAACCTCATTTACTAATTAATTTTTTGTGTGAACATGAAGAGTCCAAGCATTGCTTTTTTATGTTTATTGTATAGCTATATTTAGCCTTGATATCCATGATTTTTTAAAACAAAATCTCACCGTTAGATTTCGGGCTATTCATGTTTACTCATTTGTCTAATTGGAAAACAATGCAAATCTCATTTTTTCAAAGGAAAAAAATTGAAATTCTAAGACGGTGAAAAATCATTAAAAAATACACAGATTCAGAATCCGGCAAGCATTTTCCCTTATTCCTCTCCGTTAAGAAGTTTTGCAAGGTGTTGGATTCCTTTAATCACGCGGGTAAAGCCGAACTGGCTATATACAACCTTCCGCCGAGTAAGATCCGCTAATGCCACCTATCAAATGTTGATAAAATTACACGACCAAGGAAAATGGACAAGAAACGTAATACCAGTAGTAGATAGCCATCGTTAATCCCGTTCGATTCTAAGAGTCGTTATTAGCATGTTCTAGCAGGCGAAATTAGCCTAAAATTGTTGTTGAAATACTCTCCCCTCCATAAGTTTGGCAACTTTAGAACTTATGGAGGGGAGAGTATATCCTTTATCTCCAAATTAATCTCCTAATTATTAGATACGTTTAATTCAAAATTTTTCATTTATGCTGACGATACATCTTTATACGATATCAAACCATTTCATTTGCTCGTATATTTCAAATAACCCAGTCTCAAGTCAGATTTTACAATCTCATCTTCAGATAGTTGAAGAATGGTCAAAATTGTGGAAACTTGACTTTAAACATGATCTGATATTATTTTCTCAAAACTCAAAAACGAAAACTATCCCATTTGACCCTAAATAATGTAATAATTCAAAGAAAAAATCTTAACAAACACTGTGGCTATATCATGATGTGACAAAATTCAAAAAGCACCTAATCCTTCGAAATCTGTTAAATTCAAACTAAACTCAAAAACGCTTGAAACTATGTAAAATCTTATATAAAGCCATTTTTGAATATTTTTCATCACAATAGTAATTTAATGAAATAAAAAAAAACGATCTTTACAAAATTTGACCGTCTGCAATACCAGTCTGCCCAGATTGCTCTGGAGCATTTCCAGGTTTCAGCACATTTGAAACCTTAGATAATCTAAAATGGCCTGGTCTGACATTCACAAGAGATTATCACTTTAAAATGATGTACAATATCCAAAATTATAGGGTACTTTCTTATGAAGGAGGATTTTAATTCAAAAACCACAACAAAAGACAACTCCGTTATTCTCGTGAATACCACATACCTCATAATATATCTACAAAATTTAGAAGATCACCGACCATGGATGCAGTTGATAGAAAAATGGGACTTAGTTCCCCACAATATCGAAAGAATTCCAAATATATACAAAATAAAAAATGAATAAAAGCAAAATTATGAGTTTCCCGTTTGACCATATCCCTATCATAACAAATTATCCTTAACCGAATGAGAGTGGACTTATATTTAAAATAGCAAATGTATGTTCATTACTTCACAAATGTAGACTCGCCAAATTATCAATGCAGTGACGAAGTCGGAACTGTCAAGCACGTATTCTTCAATTGTGGTCTCAACAAGTCATAACCTAAATGTTGAAATTCTCAATTTATTAAGCTACGTTCACACCATGCCACGCTTTAAATCGACGAGCAAAGCGCCGTGATTTTTGTCATTTTTGTTCATACCAACGGCGCTTTGATGGCGCTTTAAAGCGGCTTGTAAAGCGGCACCAAAGCATAACAAAGCTTGATTATAGCGTCGGGGTCGTAATAGGTCGTAGAAAAGCTCGGAGTAAAGCGGGATATTCGGCAAGAGCGCCAAAAACTTTAAACTGTTTAAAAAATTTTGGCGCTCTGTTACGAATTGATTAAAGCGCCGAGAGCGTATCAAAGCTTAACAAACCGTAACAAAGCTCAGAAAAGCTTAATCCAAAGCGTAGGAAAGCTTAACATATAGCTCTAATAGGTTCCCAACGCTTTGATCCCGCTTTGACCAGGCTTTGTTACGATTGAAATCACGCTTTGATAAGCTTTGATAAGCATTATTACGCTTCGATGCGATTATGACGCTTTGAATCAGGCTCTGATACGATTGCCAAGCTCTGTTGTGCATTGTTACGCTCTGTTAAGCTCTGTCACGCATTGGAAAATGTTGAGATCGCCGATTTCATGCCGCTTTTGATCCAATGACTGCATAAAGATGCAGTAGATCCATAAAACCATTGCATCTTTGACTCGAGAACACGATGGCAGAACAACAAGATCAAGAAATTCCAGATGGACCAGAGCATGACCTATCTGAAGAAGACATGATGTTTGCCACAAGGCGTGATATAGTGTTTGGAAACTTGTCAAGCGTAACAAAGCCTAGCAAAGCGTTTCAATCCTTGATTAAAGCGTCTCAATTCGTTGGAAAGCTTGAGAGTCCTTCATGAAAGTGTACCAAAGAGTGTCAGATATCGATGAAAGCGTCTGACCTCGTGTCAGATTTTCATGCCAGATCGTAGCAAATCTTAAGACATCTTAACGAAGCGTGTCAAGTGGTAATAAACAGTGAAGAGACTGGGGTCCCCGCTTTGAACCAAGCTCTGTTAAGCTTTCCTACGCTTTGGGTCAAGCTTTGTTGAGCTTTGTTACGGTTTGTTAAGCTTTGATACGCTCTCGGCGCTTTAATCAATTCGTAACAGAACGCCCAAAATTTTTAAACGGTTTAAAAATTTTTGTCGCTCTTGCCGACTATCCCGTTTTACTCCGAGCTTTTCTACGACCTATTACGACCCCGACGCTTTAATCAAGCTTTGTAACGCTTTGATGTCGCTTTACAAGCCGCTTTAAAACGCCATCAAAGCGCCGTTGGTGCAAACGTAGCTTGAACAGTTTAAATTTTTAGTGCTCTTGCCGAATATCCCGCTTTACTCCGAGCTTTTTTACGACCTATTACGACCCCGACGCTTTAATCAAACTTTGTCACGCTTTGGTGCCGCTTTACAAGTCGCTTTAAAGCGCCATCAAAGCGCCATTGGTGTGAACATAGCTTAAGGTAACACTAAATAGACAGAAATGGTCTGATCAAAACATTTTTATTTGGTCATCCTGCTCTCTCAACAAAATAGTTTGATCCTTGAACTAGTCACAACTCTTTAGCAGGTAATTACACTGAAATGCTTAAGATGGCCTCCTACCACTCAAACAAATCATCTTATCATTTTGCCCCAACACCACTACCAAGCAAATACCAGCAATCCTTTTTTTTGGTCAGATGAATACATCTTTCGACGTACTCAATGTTCTTTTTATACGTATAGAGTATACTTATAGTGCTTATTCTTACCGATGTGTCACTCATATTTGTAACTACAACTGTATTTAACTATGAAATAAAACAGATTGTAAAAATGAAATTATATTATTTTAGATACAATGGAAATTTATAGATACAGATGGAACAGAAAAATCTTACAGTCTACAGTTAAATAAGAAAATTGAAGATGCCAAAAACGGAAAAAGCCAAATATATCAATACAAGCGAAATGGAAAGGACTGTGAAATCGATTTTGTTGCCATGACTGATACAGATATATCTTCCAAGGAGTCATTTGATATCATCAGGCTCACTCCAACTGAAGGTAAACAACTTTCGAGACCCTATGGTAAATCAAAATTGGGATATTTTATTCTAAAGTTTGAGCCTTAAAAAGTAAACATTAGCTTGATGTAAATTATAACTTTACAAATGTTATAACATTAAAATCCCTAGAATCGAATGTCTATTCGAAATACCATTCTTTGGGGGAAAAACAAAAATTAAAAGTAACTATCTCGACTTTGGCAGCTAATCACGCGATTTTTACAGATTTTCCAATTGTCTTAGCTTTTGACTGACATGATATGACGCTTTGTTCATCTTGCAATAGGGCAAAGGGTAAATCGTAGTTCATTAGTGAGCGTTTGATTTCATAAAGCACAGTTATATAGTTAGTTGATACATGTAGGCGATATACAACTACCGGGATCGTGGTCTGATGATTATAGAGGGATGAAGATGATTACAGTTCCATTAAATTTGGGGAAAGAATATGATGCAACAGCAAAACTATTTTTGGATAGTATGCAACAAGCCAAAAAAATACCGCAGATAAAAGAGGTATGCAAAAATTCTACCTGGTGCGTTTACGTTAATGTCTTTAGCAGATATGCCCATCAAATGAGTAAACAAAACAATATACTAGTAAAATAAAGACATCGTTTCACCAAAATGTGTTATTAATTTTATAAGGCAGACATCGATTTGATATAGTCAATTTGTAATTTTATGAATGTATGCATTTGTAAAACACAATGTTTTATTGTGTAATCACTATCACAGGAGTTTTATGAAGTGGCAGCCGCCCATATATGATTGCAAACCGGATAAAATCGCTAAGAAAACCCTTGATAAGTTAGTAATTTCCATTGTGTAACAAGCTTGATATGCAAAATATTTTGATAGATATTTCAATCATGAAATATGCTAATTTGCATATATGAAAAATTAGCTATTCGTGTATATTTCCACATTATCCATTTTTCCAAAAGAAGCATGGGTTTTAGACATATTATTTAGACAAAACGATTACAAGATTTAATTTCCAATATATTTAAATAAAAAGAATCAAGATTTCAATACATTATTCATAGTCTATTATCTTCCTCGAAACTAACTTTTTGTGCAACCCAGTTAAAGTATTTCAGAAAACCCTTATTATCATAAATTAACCATAAAATTGTGTTTTATGATAATTCATAGGTTCATTATAGGGTTTTAGGGGTGACAAGTGGACTATACAAATATCCTAGAACAATACAAACCTTAATAGACCTTCCCAATATTTGCGGCCGCCATTTTGTAGATGAAAGAATTCTGGTCTTATTTCCTATCGATAAATTCCAAAAGTCACAAGAAATGATCGAGATATTTGGTTCGAATCTCTTGAATTGTTTATTTTGGATTTATAGTAGGCTATAACTTCGACGTTCTAATTGTTGGAAAATATCAAGGTTTGATTCTGGGAGCCAAGTCACCTTGCTGTCCAAGCAAAATTACGATTTAATTGCTAATTTTGAAAAGAGCAACCCATGACATCATCAATCTGCCTTTTATATCATACGTATTTTGACATATCAAAATGTGACTTGATATACTGGAGAGGTATAATGGAGCCATAAACTGGTTCAGAGTATTTAGTATTAATTAGATCTGTTTTAAAGAGCACATTCTGTATATCCTTTAAGTGTAAAAGCAGTATGAACCTATATGTAAATATCTGAAAATACAAATGGAATTGTAATAGTAAAATGAATATAATTTATTATTCGTATATTTAGATTCGAAGAATTCAAAATCCTACTCGGTATCGCCAATATGTTGTATCGAGAAAGGAGATGCGCAGAAAGATTGGAGCGTCAAATGTAACTATTGAACGAACTCTTTTCCATGGAACGGATGCTAATGCCATAGACAACATAAACAATGATGGTTTTAACCGCAGCTATTGTGGGAAAAACGGTGAGACACAATTCAATTTAGATATAAGGTTCATTTAAGAAATTGTCCCACTAAGGCATTGGCTATGCACCGTTGCCCATATAATGCTTTCAAAGTACCTCGATTTCCTCGATTCAATGAAGCTCTCATATTTAAATGACGTAGTGCAATTGTGAGAAAATGTCCCCGTCGTTATGATGAATCATTCTTGGGTGTAAAATGAAAAATAGAATATCATATAATACTTTAGAAAATATTTAAGCGTTTGGACCAAATTGGGCTGAGATTGAGTTCGCTAAGTTCATCAGTGGTGTATTGATTCGAATTGGAGAGGTGCTCCATTAACATGGGGATATCATCATATTCCAATTGAGGAAATTATCTTCCATTGATTATAACAAAAATACCAAATAACACTTTGACCTGAATCGATGCCAAATTCAATAATTAAACAATATATAAAGTAATATGACACAAAAAGTACACTCGCCTCCAAAAGTTTGGCAACCTTAGCTCCCCCATTGAACTACGTGTTAAAGCCTCTTGACCTTTGATTTTTTATGTACTTAACCTGTGCTATGAATTGCAATTTTTTCTCAATTAAGTCGAAAATTGATGATAAATTTGATGAATTTTTGAAAATGCAAGAGATTTCTGACTTTCGCATTTTTAAGTAAATCGACCGCAACTCGCACAAGTTAGAACGTGTCGAGTAAGGGGCGAGTCAGTAACCATGTTTTTTCACTAATATTAATGGTAAAGTACATGTTCAAAACTATATGTGTGCACAAAGAAATATTACGTATAATACATTTTTGGATTTTGAAATATTTTTTATGTATGAATGCAAGTCAAGGAATGTGAAAAGTTGATCTATACAGGACACAGGTAATATTGTAAATTGAAATACCATTGGCCCGATTTTGTTCATATTTTGTACAAATATACCCTATGGGGGTAGAAGTTCTGGTCGAAAGCCGATTTTCAAAATGGCCGATCGTTTAAAAATGGCGGCCATTTTAGTGCCGATTTTACAGTAATTTAGGTGCAATATGTAAAACTGTAATAGCAGTATGTTTTAAATTTTAAAAAATTACTAGTAGTATATAGGACATTGATAGAGCTAGAAATGTAGATATTAAAGAAGCACGTGGCAGCCATCTTGAAAAATGGCGGCCTTTACTTGTTATGGTATGAGGTTCCATATCCATCCGCCAAAAGGTATGACCCCTATATAGTCCATTTAAAAACTTGTGGTTTTGTTCTAAATAACGCCATAGTTGGCTTCTAGGATACCTAGTATGCCACTATTTGGTATCAAAATAAAGAGGAGGAGTTCAACTTTCATTTGAATTACGAAAATAGCGATGTAGGTCAAAAATAGTTCCGACGTGAGCATGTTTATTACGCGTTTGCCCATCATATCAGAATTGAGGAAGTGGTAGCAAACGCGAGTCACAATAAATGGACGCTGATATCTCAAAAAGTAACCTGACTCCCTATAATTTGATGTAGATCAATCGAACCCCTATATGAACAGGTACATTTTGATATATAACACTATGGGGGGTAAGCGTTTTATAGTTGGTCACGAACGCCATATGTGCAAAGTATTGTTATGAATTTTCGAATTTGGTGTTGGATTACGGTACTCATACCTTAATATGAGGCCTAAAATTGTCTGCTAGTTGGCCAGAGACCAATATTCTAGCAGATTTTGAGAACAGAATCGATTTTTTCGTTCTGCGTAGGGCAAACAATGATTTGAAATCACTTTCAACCATTCTGTGAGTATAAGATTGGTCATAAGAGGCCCGTGGAGGGTCTGGAATGAAAGAAAGCCCTCTGAAATTCCGTCAAAATTGCAGGTTATTTCTTCATTTTTTGCTAAAATTACATGATTTTCAGGGCCCATATCTCAGTGAAATTGCTACAATGTAGCGATTTTTCATTTTTACAGGCTAGATACACGTGTCAGGTCGACAGAAACAGTAAGCATGTGTGATTTTCAAATTGCTACATTGTAGCAATATTTATTTCAAAATACAGGTGTGAGGGAAACTGCAATTTAGTTAGATTTGGGCGAAAATGGCCAAATTTCAGTCAAAATCCTCGGGACACAGGCCCTTTGTCTTAGATTTAGTCAATGATGCAACTCTTAGTAGAAGGTGTGCCATATAGGGATTGAAAGCTGTTTGTCAGACGTATCATTTTCTTCAATAAACTCAGAGATAGTCAGGTTAGATTTGTGACGTCACCGTGGCAAAGTTAGACCAGCATATTTAGACGTATTTGGGGTAGGGCAAATTAACCCTTTCTAGCCTAAATGGATAAATTTTTCACATATTCAGCCAGTTTCGACGTTTTTATGCATTTTTGAACTAGAAATGATATTTTCTGCCAAAAAAAGTTGCAGAGACAAAAATCAGTGTGATGTCATAACACATTAAGGTATGAGGTTCGATATCCATCCGCCAAAAGGTATGACCCCTATAGTCCATTTAAAAACTTGTGGTTTTGTTCTAAATAACGCCATAGTTGGCTTCTAGGGTACCTAGTATGCCACTATTTGGTATCAAAATAAAGAGGAGGAGTTCAACTTTCATTTGGATTACGAAAATAGCGATGTAGGTCAAAAATAGTTCCGACGTGAGCATGTTTATTACGCGTTTGCCCATCATATCAGAATTGAGGAAGTGGTAGCAAACGCGAGTCACAATAAATGGACGCTGATATCTCAAAAAGTAACCTGACTCCCTATAATTTGATGTAGATCAATCGAACCCCTATATGAACAGGTACATTTTGATATATAACACTATGGGGGGTAAGCGTTTTATAGTTGGTCACGAACGCCATATGTGCAAAGTATTGTTATGCATTTTCGAATTTGGTGTTGGATTACGGTACTCATACCTTATTTTACGATTTTTGCTGTAACTCAAGAAGTAGTGGAGCGATTTTGTTCATATTTGGTTTGTGAATACTATAAGCACGGGTCACTGTCTAATGACACTTTTGGTAGGAGGCGGCCATTTTGAAAAATGTCCACCATTTTAACGTATTTTACTATAACTCGAAAAGCGGTGGAGCGATTTTGTTCATACTTGGAATGTGAATACTATAAGCATGGTACACTGTCTAATGACACTTTTGGTAGAAGGTTTCCATTTTGTGAATACATTTTAACATATTTTACTTTAACTCAAAAAGTAGTGGAGCATTTTGTCCATATTTGGTATGTGAATAATATAAGCTTGACACACTGTCTAATGACACTTTTGGTAGAAGGTGGCCATTTTAAAAAATGGCCGCCATTTTAACGTATTTTACTATAACTCGAAAAGTGGTGGAGCGATTTTGTTCATACTTGGGATGTGAATACTATAAGCATGGTACACTGTCTAATGACACTTTTTGTAGAAGGCGGCCATTTTGAAAAATGGCCACCATTTTAACGTATTTTACTATAACTCGAAAAGTGGTGGAGCGATTTTGTTCATACTTGGGATGTGATTACTATAAGCATGGTACACTGTCTAATGACACTTTTTGTAGAAGGCGGCCATTTTGAAAAATGTCCATCATTTTAAAGTATTTTACTATAACTCGAAAAGTAGTGGAGCCATCTTGTTCATATTTGGTATGTGAATACTATAAAAAAGCATATTACTCCTTCTGATGACAACTTGGCTAGTGAGCAACCATTTTGAAAATGGTGGCCTTTCTTATTTGTGTTATTTTATGATATTTGCTATATATTTCGTTTGTAAAAATGCCAGCTATTTCTGTTCGATGGGATTCGCTACGCTTTGGCGTTGCCGTTGTTCTGGTTCTGAATTTTCAAATATGTTTATAAATAATTGGAATGCTTTTTAATAAATATTTTCTCTTTCTGAGGAATCAATATCTCACATCCCCTCAACTTTGGGCATCATTTATCTTATCTTATGCTTTTTATATTGTAGTACCCCACATGAAATTTTATCGCGGACTTCGAAATAACTTAGTGTCACTAATTCTTACTCTTTTATCATAAAATTTAAAACACAAATTTTTGGAATATTCCCAACACTCATTTTTTGTTTTTCAAAATGTCACATCTTGAGGTTATGGTGACCAAGGGAATTTCAGTATTGAATTTCAATTTATTGCAAAAATGTAGTAAAATCGCAAATATTGCAGACAATATCCTATACACAGCATATGCATGAATACAGTTCAAAAATGTGTGAAGGGAGTAAAATGATTCGCTCGGAGTCTCTCAACCCTACACATGTATAATAAAGAGAACTGGAAAATGCCGATATCAATTTGGTCATGCTACTCCCTATTGGCCACATGCTCAACATTGCAGCTGCAGAATTGAGCTTATGTCGAATAGGCCGTTCAGAAGGCTCTTCAGAAGTAGGTGGCATCCGCCTGGCTCACCCAGGGACGAGTATGGTCGCATAATTGCTGGCCCTCGGTCATTTGACAAGTGTCTTAAAGCACTAAATGATGCCTTGCAGCTGATTAGAGGCTCTCCAGATGTATTTGCTTTTGTAGTGTACCACTGGAACTTATTTTGTAAAAAGGGTAACAGAGTGATGTTGCCCATCGCATTTAGCGTGTCAGTCGTAATAGAGAGGTTTTTCAATTGCCTGGATGGCAATAAATAGCAAACCTTTACTCTAATATTCAACAATAAGACAATCAAAAAATTTCCAGTGTTAGGAATATTACATAGAATGTGTGTTTTAAAGGATTGGTATCGATATGGTGAACTGAATTCAACAGTGTTTTTCTCTTGAACCAATTATTGAAAACATTCTGTAAAAAACACTGTCCTTTATATAATGTTGACTGAGTGACAACAATGTGAAAAATATGTATACATACTTTATATAACTGTTTTTGTTAACATTGTTTGTTTTTTAGTGCATTTGTTTTTGTTCCTTTCTACCAATTCTTGAGAATGAAAAAATATCTTTCCGAACCTTGTTTGAACAAAATAGCATATACAACATGTTTTTAGACCTCTCAATATTAAAGTTATACAAAGGAGAGTTTTGTTGATTTAAGAAAAGCTTTTCAAAAAATTAAAACAAAACCCCCCAAAATACGAGTATATAAAAATTAGAATAAACCTTTTATTTCATTAACAAGATACTTTTCTCTATAAGCCAAACTTTCCTTTGTACAATTACAATATTGAGAGACCCAAACACGTTGTGTGTATGTCATTTTGTTCCAATGAGGTTCGGATAGATGTTCCAATTCATTCCTAACATAGGATACCAAGAACAAATGAAGTGTCTGATGGGTTTTCTAAAACAATATAGAGAAAAGTATTTTTCAAATTATATTGTTACCATTTAAAAGATGACCATTTAATTGACGTTGTGTAAAGTTTTTCAGAATTTTTTGATGACTGGTTTAAGAGAAATGTGTGTTCAAAAAGTTCACCATATCGATATCAATCCCTTCAAGGAAATGAGTAAAATATAGTGACACTAGGTAATTTCGAAGTTTGCAACAAAATTTCCCATGGGGCACTATCGAATAATGACAACATTTACCCATCAACATCAAGATTAATATAATTATCTCTATAACCCTAAAAATGATATATCATATTAAACAAGTCATAATGATTTTTAGCTACCAGGTTCGGCAAGGGCGTCTACTTTGCTGTGAGTGCTGCATATTCTGACCTCTTTGCGAGACCACAGCCTGATGGAACAAAGAACATGTACATCGCGAAGGTTCTCACTGGACACTATACGAAGGGACACCCCGATATGGTTGTTCCCCCAAAACTTCCTTCAGGAAATGATCGATATGACACTGTCGTAGATGACTTTAAACAACCAAATATGTACGTGACATTCCACGATTCACAAGCTTACCCCGAATACTTACTGGCATACACATAGCTATATTTATATACACCTAACACTGTCCAGTCATGTTCGGTTTCTATGTAAGTTACTGCTGCGGCTGTATATCATTTGATGTGAAGACAGTGGTGTTTCTAATGTATGTTTCAGCTAGTAGAATCTTATGATTGTCTTGATTGTTAGAAATGCAGAGTTGCATCTGGGAAATAAAGTACAGGGTGTCCCAGAAGTGATGATAATTATGCTCTTAAATTTTTATTTGACAAGGAAACAATATGAAATTCATACAAATTAAAGTTAAAGATATAAGCTTCATTTTGCTATATTACATTTATGAATTTATACAAAAATATTCCATGTATAGTTGCCATAGCAACATGTATGCGCGTTCTGCGGAGCAGTTTCCGTATACGTGTATTATAAATGTTCAAACTTAGTTTAGAAAAGCAGTTATTCTGTGATAATGTTTCAAGCTTTTAAATCATTGTTATGGTAATTGTATACAGTTGCATGATGTCATAGTGGTTTAATATTATGTAATTTATCTCATTGTGACAGGATTATCACTTTAATCTGATATTATGACATCACATGATGATGTCATATAGGGTTTCACAAAAGGAAAACTCTTAGGAACACAACCTAGGAATTTCCAGGGAGGTGTACATTATGCCACCAACGTTGAGCAAAGATGAAAAATTAGAGCAGAGAGCAGTCATAAAATTCCTTCAGAAGACAGGGGGTAAACCCAGTGACAATATAAAGGAGTTTAAACAAGCATATGGTGAGAGAAGACTGTCCAACCCCACTGTGTATAGGTGGCATAAATGGTTCGGTTCTGAAGGGAGGACGACAATTGCGCCGCTCAGTTCAGTTGGCTCTGCAGGATATGTCCAACAGTGGTTTTGATCATGTCTTCCAATCCTAGCTGGAAAGGCACAGACAAATTGTCTCCAGCAAAGGACAGTATGTGGATAAGTGAATCAACAATGTACAATGCTCTTAAGGAATATCAGGAATGAAGTAGCAGCATTACAGTAGTGATGTGAACAGCAGGGAAACATATGAACATGAAATGTTTTTCAAAAATGTATGAAAAACACACAGCTGCTCCGCAGAACGTGCGTACATGTTGCTATGGCAACTATACATTGAATATATTTGTGTAAAGTAATAAATGTAATATAGTAAAATGAAGCTAACATCTTGATCTTTAATTTGTGTGAATTTCATATTGTTTCCATATCAAATAAAAATTTTAGAGCATAATTATCATTACTTCTGGGACACCCTGTACATTCTGATTTTTAAAGTATATTGAGAGCAACAAGTAAACATAAAAACTTCCCAATTAACACCTACTTGTAACTTTAAATGTAAATGTAAACACTGATAGCTGAAAAGCAGCTTCAAAATGTAAGCATTTAAAGGTACGTTTATGTTAATTATTTTCCTAGAGTAGTTAATGCTTAAGTAATAACGAACCTTACTTTAAAACATGTACGTGTATCTTCCAGTTCACATTTTAAAACATCGCCGTATTTAGCTACACTTGAAGGTTATGTCACTATGAGGTGAAATATGCCTGAGTTCTCCCATTATAGGCCGACATTGGGAGGCTCCATATTTGGGCAAGAACGAAGGCATATTTCACCTCATAGTGACATAAATGATTTATTACATACCTTCTGTTATTCCCATGGTCGCTATCTATCAATGCCATCACACATCTGTGTGCAAATAAAATTTGATCGAAATGAAACATGCGTGTCGTGATATTGTCGGTGGTTATTGAACAATATAATATAAAGAAAGAGGGCTATATTGAGGTTGTCGGGCAATATCGGTGGAAATAGCCCGCTAACTTTTTCATTGACTTCTATACAAATGCTTCGTTAGGTATGTAATACACATGCTTATATTATATTTTAATATATTTCAGTATCCTGGACAATGATTATTTTAAAATCAAAGTGTACTTTTTGTGAGGAAGCCCATTGTTTGGTCTGAAAAACGATCTTAAAATGTTTGGAGTAACTGTACTATTATGTATCGTGCTATATTTTAGTTCATTTAGCTCACAATTTTACCGACAAGACATGGCCTGGTCAATGAGCACCTCGAGGACGATATTTTTTTGGTAAAGGCTTGTCAAAAAGTATTTTGGCCAGGTTAGGTTCATTATTGAAGGCTACATTGTACATTTCTCGACATGATTTTTTCACAGCGAGCAAGATTTTTAAGCTAAAGATAAGCAAGATTGTTGTTAAATTGCGTAATGTCCGAAAAAAGGTATGGACTTCATTTTCTCCTACAGTATGTTATTAAAAGCATGGCTTATATAAAGGTCGCATCCGGTGATGCATTAAGTAGTCTATATTATTGTGGATGTAGTCTTGGCATACTGATGCAGAGTTGCATCTGGGAAATAGAGTACATTCTGATTTTTAAATACAAGTGTTAACTATTTTATAATTATTTTAAGTCGTTAAACGAACTTTTGAAATTCGAACAAATTGCCGTGAAATAGTGACTAAGTTCATTGTCTCTTTGAAATACAAAATAAATATTTATTGCCAATTAGCTATAATATATTGCCACTTAGATATTGAGAAAAGTATTTTAAGAAGTCCTGGGACAAAGTTATCTTAAGGATCAAGTATCATTAAGTATATCATTTTAAACATAAATACCTGTCATAAGTAAATCGTACCATCTAGCACCACACTCCCGACCGGTCGAGACATTTATATTTTCTATAAGTAGAACGACTGCAAGTAAAGTAACCTAATGGGAGTATTGATATATTGACAGTTTTATATCAATTCGTCCTGATAATGTTGTCGCAAATTCACCTATTTTGACAACTGAGTCACTACGTACTTCACCTTTGTTACTCTAAATCGATATATTATATCTCATTGTAGCACATATGCTAACATGATTTGGCTGGGTCACTTACTTGCGTTCGTTCCATTTCCAAGGTTCAAATTCATATGTTCATTGCATTCTTATTCAACCACATACTTTCGTACTTTTCAATCACATCTCCTTCATGGCAATCGTCACTTCCATTACATTATGGGATCCAACTGTTCTAGCACCATCCACATTATGGCACTTTTAACGCGTGTACCATCCACATTATGGCGCAATCGCTCAAGCACCATCCACATTATGGGGCTTTCAGACTCGAGCGCCATCCACATTATGGCGCTCCCAGACTCCAGCACCATTCACATTATGGGGCTTTACGAACCAAGCACCATTCACATTATGGCGCTTTCAGACTTACGCGGCACAATCCACATTATGGTGTTTTCAAATATAGCACCATCCACATTATGGGGCTACTGATTTTCATTTGCCTTGAAGGAGAATTCAACTTTAATTTACAAGTCGCAAACGACGCAACGTCATACGCAAGAGAGTGTCACAGTCAATTCATGAGATGCCCAGATGCCAATATGTTTGTATATACTTATATTAAGAAATAAATATTATTATTACATGCATATATATGTACTTCTTTGTTTGTTTCCTATAAATGCTACTGTAAATCGATATATTATACAGTGCATATAAAAAAACGCAACAGATCGTTATCTTGAAAAAGCAAAAAAACAGTGATAGCAGCATTGAATTCATTCAATGCGCCATTAAGCCATGTGTCTCCACTTTAAAATAATATATCATTCATTGATATTTGGTCATGGTTGGGCGAGTAATCATTCCATTTGCAAAGTGGGTCGAGATTAGCTTGGGACCAAGTTATAAACATCGCAAAAGGCAGTGTGCGGAGCCCGATGCAATATTGTAAGAAAACATAAAACCAATGCTGACTGCATCCGTTCCATTCAATATACCAAAAAACCAAATTACTCCTCTTTGCAATGGAATATCATTCATTCACAGGGAGTCATGGCTGGGCGAATAATTAATTTAATTTTGCAAAGTGGGGCAAAATTCAGCTCGGACCCAAGTTTTAAACATTGTAAAAGTCAGTACAAGGGGCATATAGGGGCTATTGGAAGAAGGTGTGACAGGTGTGGTATAGATAGTAAAGTGTTAATACTCATAAACTTGCAAGAATACATCCTATACCCCTCCAAATTGCCACCACTTCCTTGCACATAAAATCTGCTCATCTGTCCACGTCATGCATGGTTCTACCCTGAGTCATCTGTATGTTAAAGCAGAGAAAAGCAGCCCATGGGCAATTCTTTCTCGAGGTTTTACAATATCTGGTGGAGGAATTGTGAGCACAGATGCTCCTGAGATAGATCCAAAAGAAAAAGTCACAACAATTCAAGTCAGGGCGACTTCCATTGGCACTTAGCCCTTGCACTGATTTTTGCAAAATCTAAAACTTGGTCCAGAGCCGATTTTGACCCACTGTGCAAATGGAAGGATTTCTCACCCAACCATTACCAAATGTGATTGAATGACATATCATTGGAAAGAGGAGAGACCTGGTTTTATGGTATATTGAACGAGGAAACTACTTGTTGTACAGAACAATACAACAAGAACAGAAAACGTTTAAGTGTACACCAGTCATAATGAAAACAAACCCCAACTATCCAAAACCATAATCTAAAGAAAAGTTCCATCTTCTGCCCCAAGTTCGAACCATTAATCATCCCATTCTCGATGCAAAGCATTTCTCTCACCAAGAGAGCAGTTAGAGTAATCACCATCTACAACAACAGAATAATGTTGGTAGCAGCAAACATAGAGTCCCAGATGTCATTTTTTGAGGGAAATATAAGGCATTAGTAGTTTTTTTTGTTAAATTTGGAGCACTTATTAAACAAACATTGAGAAATAGCTGACATCAATTTCAGCCTCATAGCTGTTATATTTTTGATTTTATTTTCATATGGTTAACATGTCGCCATAAACCCCGGAGATGTCGGGGAAATATGACGGTTTTTGTCACATTTTGTTCATTTTACACACCTTCCCAACTGTTAATAGCAGTGTTTTAATTGTACTGAATTAGCTTTTTGGCACATTAATTATTGATATCATACACACTTATAGCTAAATTCATTCAAAGTAATTCCCCTGTTTAGCAAAAGAAGATCCAATGTAATATTGACATCCAGTGGCTTATGCACAGATGCATTATCCATATGCAAAATCAAATTGTCTAGCAAATAAGGATGCTATTTCCCCTCCGTTTTTAAAGCGGCGGCCATTTTGAATCTTTTTTTGTTGCGTACGACAATTGGCCAATATACATCTTTCCACCAACTATGAAAAAAATCCGTCCACGGACGGACGGACGACTTCACTATATCCATACCTAACTTCGTTCGTTGGGATAATTATAGTATCGATTAAGTCGGTATCGAGACTCTGGTGTTGAAAACAAACCTACTAAACACCAAGTTTCTATCCCATACATATTTTTGTTTTTCTTTACATGTACTTATTTTGTGCATATAACTGTGATCAGATACTTAGAATGTGTTATGGGCCCGGCTACGATGCACGTATGCGTTTGAACCTAATTTTAATAAAGTTTACACAGAATAAGAACTCTGGATGAAGAACTCAGTCCCTCGAGTAGATAAAACTCGCGCGCACCGCATGCCTAAACAGGTGCCAACCACACGTCCACCTTTAGTTCATGTATTTGTCCATCTGCATGGAATCATTGTGTAACAATGAATATGCGACAACAAATGAATAAGTTTCTATGACATATTTTGAGTCAAATGAGTTCGCCGTCATCGGATCTATATTGAAATGTTATGATACCAGTTTTCTGACCAGTTGTTGTATGATATGCAACTCCGGCGACGATGGCCCCGTCTTTAGCTGATGCAATATCAAACAACACGCATTCTGACCTACTCTTCTTTATCAATGTTGTCTTGATGCGACCTCTGGAGCTCATAACCTGTACTTTGTTGTTCCGTGCGTTTAATATAACCACATCGTTTTGACTGTCAAATAACCCAAATGACTTTAATTTATCGAAACGTTCTATTTCATTTTTTTCCGAATATCCATAAATTATAGCAGAAAATGAAAATGAAATTTCATACTTGTTGCTGCAAGACTTAGAAAAATGTCGTATGTAGAACTTGTCGCTGACAACAACATCATCTAAACTATTCACATCGATGCGGAACGGCTCGTCGAATGATCCAGGCAACAAATACGTTTCTAAAATGTCACCACTGGACGAAGCGACCTCGATAATTTTTCCATCACTTGTTAACACAAGGAAATCCCCATCCGCCTTCATTGCAATATCTCGTGGACTTTTAATACCGACTGAAATCTTTCTGAAAAGGTCGCCAGAAATATCATATATTTGAACGCTACGCTTAGAGAGGAACGACCCCTTCATCAACAAGGCAAGACCATTTTCATTTGTGACAGCATATGGAATGTTCTTCTTCTCGAACTTTATGGGAAGTGTACGTCTCAGGTTCAATTCTTTGTCATAGCATCGCACTGATTCACCTAAAATAACGGCGATTTCGTCATTTGGAAAAACAGCAATAGAACGCAAGTCGTCTATATCGATGCTTCTTTCAACATATTTCGTTCCGGTCTCAGTTCCATCGTTTAATTCATACATGTTATGGGGGTTGGAGTTGACTTTTCCAAGTGCCTCACACTCAACTTTCGCCAATGTCACATTGTTATCGTCGGTCATACGACTTGGTATAACAGCTAGCGCCATCGCTTGTTCAGACCCTAGATCTAAAGGCGTAGACCAGCTCTCAAGTTTTGATGTCATTTCAGGAACCATGTAAACGATGTCTGCATGATTTCCATGAGCTTGTAAATTCTCGAGCTGTTTTACGGTGCCGTCAATAGCATCTTTGTCAAATTGAAGTTCCGCCAAACCGGCTATTATGTTCTTAATCACGGCATGACCCATAGACATAGTTTGCACTTTCAGGGACTTAAAATGAGCCTCCACCTTGTCGTGTGTTGCTTGTAAGTCTGCGTCGAGCTGAGCTGTTGCATCTTCCATATTGTTTTCGATGAATTGTTTGTAAGCATGTTTCTCAACAATGGCGCTTTCGGTTTCATCTGATCTTTTTTTTCCAAGATCAATGACCAAACTCATTTTCTTCATGTTGGCTTTCGCAGTTTCTTCAATGTCCATTAATACGTGACCCTGGTGATCATATGCGAAACAATCTTGGCAGATAAGGCGTTCGTCGCTCTTACAGTAGTACCTCAATGCCTCGTTCTTATGCCTTTCACAATACACAATTCGTTTCGACAACAGAGCGATCGAGTTCTTTTCGTCCAGTGACTTGTCTCCAGTCAAACCAAGAACTTGATGCTGTTCGGTGAACCTCGACAATCTGTGTGTGCGCTCACAGCCTTTACAGAATTTTTCATTACATTCTACGCATTTGGACGTTGCTGGAACATTTGAACCTCCTTTACGACATACGTCACATTTTACATCAGCAACGTCAGTTCGATCATTAATCGCTTCCAAAACGGACCGAGCAAAAAAGTTGGCTTTTAAACCTACAGCTCCTTCCATTATCGAACATGGCTCTCGACAAATTGGACACGGGAAGTGTTCTTCGCCCTTTCTAAGATCCATAATATCTTGAATACACCCCATGCAAAAGGTGTGCATACACGGTAGGCATCTTGGATCGTTTAAAACGTTCATACATATTGCACAAGTCACTGATTCAATCAAACGATCGCTATCTGTAAGAGACTCAGCCATGTTAATTCGTTCTTGTGTCATTAGTCCTCTGCTTTCGAGAATACATTACACGTCTCAAATGATTTGGCTTTATTGTTAAATATAGCAATTAATGATTAACATTAAAGTATGGGATAAAGGTCATTGAGCTTATTTATGATTATAATAAGAGTACAAGTTGATCCCTTTTTCGTGAACGCATACATACATAGCTTTAACATTGTCCAACTAAGATGCAGTATATATCGGCCTGTGAATGCCACGCTTTAAATCGGCGAGCAAAGCGCCGTCATTTTTGTTTACTTTTCCAAAAATGTCACGATCTCCTAAGTAATGTTACGCTCTGATACGCCCTGATTTCCCGACTTGTTACGGTCCCTCACGCTTTGATCCCGCTTCGATCAGGCTTTGTTACGCTTGACATCACGCTTTGATAAGCATTATTACGCTTTGATGCGATTATGACGCTTTAAATCAGGCTCTGATACGATTGCCTAGCTCTGTAGTGCATTGCTACGCTATGTTCAGTGTTAAGCTCTGTCACGCATTGGAAAATGTCGAAATCGCCTATTTCATGCATCCTGGATTTCCAAAGTATGATGTTTTCATGATTGAAATTCAAACTGGGAAACGAGTGTGGATTTCCATCCGGCCATATATCATTTCATCTAGGTTTCAGTTACGATTTACCTAGGTCACATTGGCACCGATTCATCGGACGGCGCCCGGCCGATTGAGTATTTTGTTCGAATTGTATTCGGTTTTGAACAAAATACCCAATCGGTCGGACGCCGGGCGATAAATCAGGGAAAATGTGACCTAGGCATAACTGGTATGTCATGTGAAACATATATACCTCAGGTTGAGGTATCAAATTTGGATCATTTGGAACACAAAAGTTAACATCAAAACATCGTTAACTTTTGTGTTCCAAATAATCAATTGAACATACTAATGCTCACTGGTTGTGTATAGTTATTTTAGCCTGGATACCTTGATATAACCATTGAATTCGCTTGTTTTAACTATTTTAATTTGATGGTACAACGCTTAAAATAGTCATGTAATGCCTAGGTCACATTTGCTCCGATCCATCGGCCGGCGCTCGGCCGATTGATAGTTTTGTTCAATATTGTATTCAAGTTTGAACAAAATACTCAATCGGCCGGGCGCCGTAGTGAAAATCTGAGGAAATGTGACCAAGGCATTAATGATGTGCAATATAATCTGCTGCACTTTTCATCCGCTATATTAGGCTACAGCTACACTGTACATGTAGCTACGCATGATTTAAGTTATTCCACATTTTCCTTAAAAAATGTGAAGGCTTTATTGAAGAATTTGGAATGATATATACAGTAGGACCAGTATATCTGAACACGTGACTAATCAGAATACCTCGCAATATGAACACGTTTGAAAACTTTTGGTCCCATTTCTTCCTCCCATTGACTTGCATGTTAAAAAACTTGAAATGTGAACACCTCTCAATTTGAACAGTGAACAGCCATATTTGAAAAATTAAAATATGTCTAATCTGGACACTCTTCATAAAATTTAACATGTTTCATACAAAATTGTGTAATGTAATGTAAAGCTATATGGTCAAATAAGATATAAATTTGTACCGTTAATGTGTTCACATTTCTTCAGAATCCGGAATCTTGCAAATGCGAAAACCTCGAAATGTGAACAACTCTTAATCTGAACGCTTTTAGCCGGTCCGAATGGTGTTTGGATTAGACAAGTTTTACTGTACTAGTTTCCAATGAACAGCTCGGACGTTTTTAAAAATGCGTTAGCTATCTGACCATGACCTTATCATATCAACCGTTTTGCAGTTTAGTTAAAGGAAAACTTCGTCTTCACTGGTGATCCGCTCGATTACGCTGGTTACCGAAACGGTTCGTTTTGGTAACAACATTTCGGAACGTCGAAGGTACGATTTTTCTTTTTTCCCTATTTCACGCGTTGTAGGCAGAATCCCCACGACGTTTTTTTCTCACAAAAGTATATCAGTATCATTTGTTTTAGACAATGTACATGTTTGCGATTTAATTCCTCACTCAAGTTACATAAACGGTTTGGGTTAAAAGTGAAGATCTTAACTGTTTTTCGAAAACCCGTTTATGTAACTTAAGTGGGGAATTAAATCGACGATTCTGTCGTCTTCTGAACAATTTGTTCGCAAATATGTACATTTTCTAAAACACATGATACTGATACACGTTTGTGTTAAAAATGTCGTGGGAATTCTGCTTACAACTGTGAAATAAGGAAAAAACAAAAATCGCACCTTCGATGTTCCGACATTTTGTCACCAAAACGAACCGTTTTGCTAACCAGCGTAATCTAGTGGATCACCAGTGGTCTTAATGAAAGATAGCAGATTAATTTTGACAAAATTTGTTGAAAAACAAGTGACAGTATAGATACTCATGCTGTACCATATCATACTCATTCTTTAATGAATGACGGCTTGACAGTCCTACATTGAAGTTCACATTCTATAATTCATGCGTATGGTTTATGTTTCATATTTCATGTTTATCTTTCTGCTAGTTCATGGAGCAAAGAATGAAACCACCAAATGAATGCAAGTGGATGTATAACAAAAATATTGGTGAAAGACATACATGCAAAAATTCAGAAATATGATTATCTCAAAAGATATTGTAACTTCAAAAGTAGAAGGTTAATGGAATCTAATATTTCAAAAACAAACTTATCTGGAAAACAATATGTTATGAAATCTCAAAAATAAAAGATGCAAAACTTAAGTCATTACAGTAGAAAATCATGAACAGAATCCATCCTACAAATGTTTTGTTATACAAAATCAAAGTTTTTGCATTGAAAATTGTTTCATTTTTTTTAAGATATCCATTATGGGTAACCAAAATTAAGCTGAAAGCAATGGCTCCCATGAGTTTTCCTTATGGAAAAATATTAATAACATGGGAAAAATTGTTTTCCACTTCATCTAAAGGAATTACTTATATTCCTTTAAAGTGCTAATTCGGTAATTTCTGTTTTTTTTCTCACTACAAAAGATTAAACAGATATTGACAAGTAAAAATAGTATTCCAACAGACTCTCAACTCATTCCGTTTGTTCATTAGTGGCAAAATAAGATTTCCCGGGATAAAACATGACGTCACGAGCAGAACTGGTTATGGATTTTTAACGGCAATGCGTTATGCAACTAACTGACTAAAGTGCCAAGTTAAAATTGTTTATGTTAAAATTGTGTTCTGATTTGCCAGAAAGAAGTAACGCTTACCGAAATCACCTCATGGTTCAATGCCTTTTGGTTACACGATTTTAGACAGCATGAGTTATGTGATACCCTCAACTGAGCGTGTTTATTTTCTATATTGTGTTCTGACTGTCCAGAAAGTAATTCTGCATGACTAGCTATGTGAAAACGCACCGCTGGGTCGGAAGCTCTAATTTAGGTATTATATTTGTGTTTATCGGAGGAAAAACGTGGCTCCAAAGAGTCATCTCTGAATCAATTCCTCACTACATTTAATGCAGTTGCAATCAATTACACTAACACTTTATACTAAGCACGTTCGGGGATTATGAACTCCAACAACATATTCAAAACCCGTTCTGTTCGTGATGTCATGATTGGCATTTGACATTGTGTTCCCGATTTTGAACATCAACTTTCACATTTATAAAAATATTTACAAGAACGGTACCTGGTTTGACATGTTAGTGGTATTCACTTCATTTAGAACGTGTATAAACTGTATTTTGACCCCATGAGCATCGAACAGACACTTTAAAGTGTTTAACTGTGTGTCAAAATGCAACATACTGATGCAACAATAATTGAAAAAGCAGGGATGGAATGGGTTGAAAATAACGCAAATGCGAGTGGGTATTTACTAGTTTCTCCACTAGGTGGCTCGCTCGGGTCAGGTAGCATGGTGGGTATAGTTGAAAGTTCCCTTTAACTTAAATTACATCTGTTTTAGTGGTTTAATTTTCATATATCCCTAATGTATCGAATAGTAATGCAAATTAAAGTATGTCTAAAGAAAAAAATGTTATGTCCAATACAAGAACAGATATTTCACTTTTTGTGATTTTGTAATATGGGGTCTATGGGGAATCAACCCGAACTAGAAGTCACATTTTCAAAAATTATTAAATTTTCAAAGTTGGTAAACAATTTTCGAAACAATATTTTTAGATGTATTTTTACATGTAGATTTCAAATATGACATCACTTTGACTGAATTTTGAATATTTAACGATGTAAATCAAGGTCATTTCTACTCGCATCTAGTTTATTAGGACAACATTTCAGAAAAATCATGTGGGTGGGTTGTTTGCATCTTCATTGTCTCAAAGTCCAAATTATCTTATCATCTCTATGACTATTTTTCCTGATGGTAATGCATTGACCTAATTTATGCACCTGTTTAAATGAGCAGAAAACAGACAAAACCCACATATGACTATTTGAAATCTGTTGCGATACTTTCCGTGCTTCTTTTCAACACTAGACATTATTTTTGGAGTAAAAAACAATTAAGTGTGAAAATTTAGTTCTGCTGATTCATGTGATTGCAAAAAACGGTATCAACAAATTTAAATACGGCACATACCCTTATATAGGAACATTTTTCCAACAAAAACTCGAATTAAGAAATGTTTATGTAAAATGTTTGTAATTTGTATTATGTATGAAATGTTACAGAAATAAAAATGCCAGTGATGAGAATATTTGATATCTTATATTGTTGTTTCCATGTTAGACAGCATCACTCTGATTTAACATGGAATAACTTTCTGTTCACTGTTTCTGATGGCAATGAGAGATAATGTCACAATATTCACATATTGCTGAGTCCATACGTTATGTTACATAACCGTAGATAAAGGTGGAAATGGGTTTTGTTTACTGACAACAAGTTTCTGGTGCTGATGTGATATGTAGCCTTTGATCTTGCCCTGGAAACAAAAAAAGATGAATTAAATGTACTTAATGATAATTAAATGTATTAAGTTCTGGCATTATATTTATTGAACTTGAAGTAAAGACTTAACATAACACAACACGGCGTAACATAGAGAATTCAGTAAGAGATATAAATGAACTATCTAACTAAATCTCTAATGTATCATAAAACAAGGCTTTTAACAATACAAAATGTCACTACCTGCGAAAGGTAAAAAAAATATCTGACAATTTTTTATAAATGCCAAAAGTCAACCACCAAACACCAATTGTCAGGAACTCGAAAAAGCACTTGTCAAATATTTTGGCTAATACATATCCACCCCCTACCTCATATATGAGATTAGCCACTATACACTGGACTTCATCATTGTCAATATCCTCAACTTCCATCATCCGTAGAGCTGTCGTGAATGAATCTATAGGCAATTGATGGGTCCCCATTATTAGATACCTACAATAAGTTTCTGTTCATACAATCACATTTTAAGATGTTTTACTTGGGAGGTGTTTCACTTACAGGGGTTCATGAGCGTTCAATAAATGAGACCGAGAACCTTGAGGTGTTCAACTTAAGAAGTGTTCTACTTTGCAAGTCAAGTGTTCCACTTTAAAGAAGGTGTTCTACTTTGTAAGTCAAGTGTTCCACTTTAAAGAAGGTGTTCTACTTTGTAAGTCAAGTGTTCCACTTTAAAGAAGGTGTTCTACTTTGCAAGTCAAGTGTTCCACTTTAAAGAAGGTGTTCTACTTTGTAAGTCAAGTGTTCCCCTTTAAAGAATGTGTTCTACTTTGTAAGTCAAGTGTTCCACTTTAAAGAAGGTGTTCTACTTTGCAAGTCAAGTGTTCAACTAAATAGGGTGTTCTACTTTGCAGGTTTATAGGTAGTTACTGTATGTCTTAAATGTTTATGATATCACCATGGGAATCTCTACCTCCATTTTACTTGCATTTGACGATACTACCAACAAATCCATCTAACTGAAACAGATTTTGAGCACTACCATAGGTGGTAACCAGAGAATAAAATCAAATTTATTGAATGGATGTATCTAGCAAAACTGAAGTTTCATAAAAGTTATAACACCTACACTTTTTTGAAGAGATTTCTGTATGTGATGATTTTAAGCTTCTCTAAGATAAGGTATATTCCACACTTTATGAAGAATGCCTCATTCTTCTGTAGAGCACTGTTCAATTGTAGCAGGTTTCCAGAACTGAAATACAAGCATAAATGTATATGGATTCAATCACACCCTTAAGACTAGTGCAGTATTTATACATGTACCTACATACTATATACACTATTTTAACCACATTTTTGTTATGGTTTCTGATCTTGTCTGATCTTGCTTATAGAGCAATAAACTTACTGCTTATACAATTATATTTGGAAAAAATGTTCGATTCTATGTAGATCACTGGTGAGACAGCAGTGAAAGGGGGATGTGAGAAACATAAAATACTTCAAGAAAACTGTCAGTATACTGGTATTTGTTCTCAACAGAATGTCAAAATATCCACTTCTCATCTACATAAATCACTGAGTCAAAGTTTATTAGTTTCGTGCAAGAAATAATGCTAAGTTGCATTAAATAAAAACTACAGCAATTTTAAAAAGTACCTCATCTATTGTAACGTTACTTGTGAGTTCTATGTTGACAATAAAGAGCTTTCGATATAAGTTATTTGGAATACATATGTACATATATGCAAACTTGTACTTGTAAACTGGGGAGAAACTCTGGAAACAAAGATAGGGTGCTTTAATTTCATCCTTCAAATCACAACAAAATATTTGTCAAGTGTGTAGTTCGTGAGTTCCAGTCTCAAAATATGATTAAAACTTCGAAATTAATTATGCCATTGTTGGGATATTCACAAATCAATTCTCTCAATCAGGAGATGAGGAAAATATTTCAAACGAAATGTACTTTCCTGGTTTCTTTGAAAATCCTTCCTCCCAAGTGGTGTTACAGTACGTCATTTAAAAGTAAAAGTTGCAGTTGAAGTTTGGTCGAAAACTTTTATCGAAAGCTCTTTATTGTTGCAAAATGCAGGTAATTATATTTAAAAAGACATTTTACCTGACTGCTTGGGCGACATCTGAGAACTGTGTGAGATCATACTTTTGTAGGAGAGACTGTTTAGGCATGTGACCCTGTAAGTAAATCAATAATTAATGTATGTTTCTAAAAATCAGATTTAAAGGTGCAACAAAGAAAACTAGAGGCAAGATGTGAGTAACTTAATGGCAATTATCTAAAATAGTTTTTTGCTCACAAGATTACACATCATGGCTTATTTCTAATGAATCTAGCTCACGGTGCAGTATTCAACTGTGTGCCTATTAAGACTACCGCACTGTGCAGCTTTAATGCTGATATTTGATATTAAGGGATATCTGATATTCATGTCGAGAAAGTGGATATCCTTTTATTTTTCAATTTTAATATGTATTTGGACATTTCTGTTTCTAAACCTTTGTGTAAATTGCACATTTGATCAGATATTTGAATTAATCTTTTCGGATAATAAAATAAGAACTGAATAATAAGCACAATACTGGTATGAATGTTAAACCCATTAAGCCCCATTATTCTTTATATTTCAAAGAAGAATCGGGGAGTTTTTTTCACCCCCTTTATTTTCCACTTACTTTTTTATTTAAAGAAAGAATCGAATCAGTGATTTTTCAACCATAAATGAATACTGACCAGCAACATTTTAACAGGTAGAAGATATATGAGTATGAGACGTTTGTTTGTCTTGCTGTGTTTGTGGCATCTCTGGAAGGCAAATGATAAGTACTCCTCAGCTGAAAAAGAAAATATATTCAAATATACAGTAATTATATAAAACAGACTTCAGCAAGGTTCTACCTTAGAACCCTTACTATTTCAATCTATTAGAAGGTTACTGCATTTTCACTGCAAAATGCACTTGGAATTTAGGCAATCTCATTCATTTATCCTTACCTAATGTATATGATAAGAAGTGTAAAATGTGTGACACCATTATATTTACAAATGAGTTCATAATCGTGCATTACCTATTGCATTGCCAAAATAGCAGAATTATCTGTGAGAGAGACAAACTTTTCAATTTAATAGTCTCAATTTTAGACATAGATACTGGTGTAAAGCTGTTTTCTGCTGACACACATGTTTTTATTGATGCCATACTAGGAAGTCAGGCAGATGTTCTCCAACAATTGGATGATGACACATTTTGCAATTTTTTACTAACTATTGCAAATAAGCTGCAATTTGTGCAGCACTATTTCGTGTAAATATTATTCTAACATTATCATGATTATTCTCTTTTGTATAAAATAACTGTTTTGTAATTATTATGTTTGTTGCTCCGATTAATTTTCCGGAATAAAAGAAACAATAAACAATAAACAATATGAGCAAAACAGACTCAGGAATATTGATTTATTTTTAGTAATCCTGATTTTCTTCCTATTTTTTGAATTGTTGATACAGTTTTTGTAATCCCGATTTTTCTCCTGCTTTTTTTCAAAAAATTTGGATTGTCACCTGATTTTTCTTCAAGAAATCCTGACTTCTCCTGATTTTTTTACTTGACAAGCATGAGATTGTCCTTGATGGAGACTGTCTAAATGTACCTGGATTTCATATATTTAACCTACCACTTTTAAAATCAGAGTCAAACATGGCCTTTCTTTTCACATTTCTATTTGAAAGTTATCATCTGTGAGATTGTGAACTTGTCCTTTATGGGGAGATGAAATGGAGAATCTAATGTACCCTGGATGTATGTATAATTTATGTCATATATTTAACCTACCACTTTTAAAATCACTATCAAACATGGCTTTTCTTCCCACATAATATCTAAATGTGATCATCTGTGAGATTGTGAACTTGTCCTTTATCGGGAGACTGTCTATAGCTCGTATCAGCGGTTTACATAAATGTAACTTGTTTATCTGAAAATACAAATAGGGGTTAATAGCAAAAAAGAGGGATTTAAAAGAAGAGAGATTTAAAGAAGAATATTGTAGAGGAAATATATAAAGAAAAGCAATTTCTTCTGCTGTAAACATAGAACTGATATGAGTTACAGATCCTATTACAGATATTGGTTCACATTTAACAAACATACTACACTGCCAATCTCAAACAGCATCAAATAGCGCTGTTTATGAAACAGTGCTTGACAGAGCTGTAAAAACAATACTGCAGGCCCGTAAGACACTTTTCTCCAAGGGGGGTGCGGTTTTTAGCTTACTAAAGAGAATATAAAATTGTCAATTTTTTTACCGCGTAAATCAAATTGCGTAAGACAGAAGGGGGGGGGGGGTCAGTTACTCCCTATATTGGTTTGGAATTAACAAATGCAACATCCAAACGTTCCAATTGTTTTGTGGGGGGTATGAGGAGTGGTCCACTCCCCCTAGAAAATTTTACAGTTTTGAGATGCTATTTGGTGCTTAAGTTAGTAGTACGCCACCACCACAAGAATAAGAGTTGAGTGAATAAAAAACCGAGCATTCAGGGGGGTCTGGGGGTTCTCCCCCAGGAAAATTTTGAAATTTGCTTGTATTTGGAGCGAATTTGGAACAATCTGGTACGCCTGTGCGTTATGAGTCAATAAGAAAAATGTGAATTTTTTTTCAAATTCTTTTGGGGGTGTCAAAGAGGATGAGAGGGTGAAGTTGGGTGGGGTGCCAGTAGGGGAGCAAGGGATGTCCCCCAGAAACATTGACCATATCAAGGTGCTATTTGATGATGTCTGGGCACTAAAAAATGTCTGAGACAATACATGAAATTCAGAATGTTTATTTTGTTTTGTGGGGGATGTGAGGGGTAGCTAACTCTCCTAGAAAATTTTACAATTTAAAGATGATATTTGGTGCTTCTGGGCACTTTTAAAGCTATTAGTCAATAAAAACATTGAAAAACAATCACAATTTTTTCAAATTTTGGGGGTGTCAAAGAGGGGGGGAGGGAGAGGAGTGCCAGAGGGGGAGGTGGGGCTGGGGTGCCAGAGGGGGAGCAAGTGTTTGTCCCCCATATCAAAACTTACAATATCAAGGTGCTATTCCATTAGAAGTTTGGGCACTTTAAAAGTGTCTGTGCCTAAAAGCGCATATTTCCCAAGAAAATTTTACAATCTTAAGATGCTATTTGGTGCTTTTTGGGCACTTTCAAAATGTATGAGTCAATGTAATAGTCAATGGGGATGCCAGAGGGCGAGTAAGTGTTAGTCTTCCAGAATCATTAACTTTATCAAGGAGCTATTTGATGATGTCTGGGCAATTTAAAAGTGTCTGAGACAATACATAAAACAAATTCAGAACTTTTCCATTGTTTTGTTTGGGGTGTGAGGGGTGGCCCACTCCCCCTAGAAAATTTTACAATTTTACGACGCTATTTGGTGCTTTCTGGGCATTTTCAAATTGTATGAGTCAATGAAAAAAAATGACAAAAAAATATTTTTCAAAAAAAAGTTTTTTTTCAAATTTTTTTTTTCAAATTTATTTTGGGGGGTAACAAAGGGGGGTGCGGTCGCACCCATCGCACCCCCCCCATCTGACGGCCCTGTACTGTACATCGCTATTTTGAAAAACAGTACTGTACAGCGCTGTAAAAACAGTACTGTACTATACTGTTCAAAACAGGTGATGCTAGAATAGCATTGTACAGCGCAGTACAGCGCTGTGCTTGAAGTGCATTGTTCAGTACTGTTTACAGCGCTTTACAGAGCTGCAGGATGATGTTGCGGATTGGGGGTGTATCTCTTGAGTAAAAATGTACTTAAAGATGGGAAGAAGGGGTAATCATAAAATCAAAGTAGTCAGAAATCACTATATCTTTTCATTAGCAATTGACAATGCAACTAACTACGGTACCGTGGAGGCGGGCAAATGGACGAGCCATCGCACCTACCCCATTGGAGAGAGGCGTGCGGGCAGCATGCCTACCGCTGCCCCAGTCAGCCCTGAGTAATATGCATAAACAGGTTCAAAGTTGTTAAACTTGGCTAACATAGACTTACCTTAAAGTAAATTTTAAACAACTGGTTCACAAGATTCAACATGCCCCACTTCTTGGAGTCATCAACAGATGCCCGACTGAAAAATATACTCTGGTGTTAAAAGAAAAAAAGCAATAGAATTTAAAGGCACGGTGCAAAGTTTGAAAATACAGATATCCAAATATGTTACATATTTTAAGCTAGGACAAAAGACATAGCCATGTAGGCCTAACATACGCAAGGATAAGTATCACTACCAAATTTTAGAAAATATAACTCAGACTTCAATACTTACTAACTAAATTTGAAACTTACCCTTTTATCTACTTAATTCTTTTATATATAATAATTGTATAACATGTGACTGCGTTATTCAACGCAAATAAATAATACAAACATACAAACATAAATACATTAGTTATAAAATACATGCACGATTTTACATCTGCTTGATTTCCAATTTGCCTCAACATTTTTTGCCTCACCTATATAAGTTTGCCTTGATCATACATTTAAATATGACCCCTGAATATTCAAGAAATTTCTAAACCTACGTGATATTTTCTATGGGACTTACTTGTCTGAAGCGCATACTCTGAAGCAACCCATAAGTAATTCTGCTGCCTTTTCTAAAGTTTCTCCCGGCCTTCCTTTGCCCATTTCACTCAACTGTATGTCAGCCTGTAGTCATTAAAATTCATACTAATTTATTCATAAGAACATACCATGCCCATAGCCAGGGGGGGGGGATGGGCGTTCAGGGGGTTCCCCCTGGCCAAAATTTCTTTCAAAATCATGCAGTTTTTCACCATTCTGACTATTTTTTGAGTGATTTTTGGCCAAATTTGCCAAAGTGAACCCCCCTAGAATGTTTTAGAAAAGAGAACCTCCCCCTTGGAAAATTCTGGCTAAGGGCCTTCATACAGACATCCATATTTTATTTCTTTGTATTATGAGCTTCATTATATTTTTATCCCCACTTTTGAGCAAATCGTACAGCTTAAAGAAAAAATAAAATGAAAAAGCTTGACTAATTTTCTATATAAAACTAACTAAAGGGTGAATGATCATTGCAAGATTTTATTGGATGCCTTGTGTTATTTTATCCCTCTAAACAAAGATATTTGATATATATTTCGAGAGTATATTTAATATCATCCCCTTAATTAAATAGAAACATTAATTAACCTCTTGAATCCCAGGCTCTAAAATTGGCATGAAACCAGAGAATTTTTCATTTTTTGCCACCTTTTGACATTTTATTACATACGTATACAACTTTAGATGCTCAGCTTAGTAAAATTGGATGGCAGAGATCATTTCTACACGTTTTAAAATAATTTTTGTGTAAATTGGATGAAAATTGTTCAAATGAGAGCAATTTTTGTGAAAAATTTTGTGACAGATTTTCTCGTCCCTCTGGGTATTCAAGAGGTTAAGCACTGTGATTTTTCTGGCATTGCTCAATGTTCTCCCAGGATTTTATCTCAAGTGGGTTCTCATTTTCATCTTATTTAGACTGAATTTGGTCAAAATATGCCTATATTTCATGATTTTTTTTCATTTTAAAGTGGGTGCAAATGGATTCTCAGGTGGGTATATGCCTATTTATAAAATCTCAAGTGGGTGCAGTGCCGCGCCCACTAGCTTTAATGCTGGGGAGATCACTGAAACTTCATTCAAGAATACATGAATATTTTTTGAATATACATGAATATTTTTTGTTACATCTCAGCATTATAGTTCTATACATGTACTGAATATTTGATCATGATATCATTTCATCCACAATTATTGATATTATTATCAACACTTACAAATAATATCTCTCAAAATCATAGGATGTTGTTACTTATCAAGCTTATATAAAGAAAATTACATAATTGCAAAAAACTCCCCAAAAGTTTAATATTTGCAAACTTTTTTTCTGGATAACAACCCATATTAGCTTACCTTATTGGCAAATCTTCTCATGTCTAGTGTGACTGCAAACATAAGTGGAAGCGCCCAATTTTCATCTTTCTGCCCCTGGAATGCCTTTGTGAACGCTGTATCTCAGTTAAGGACAATATCAATGACTCTTGCATCAATGCGAGTCTATTTAGCTCCGGTATCAACCAATTCAACTTTACCATGATTGTTGGGATAGTCTGAACTGGGCTAAACATACCATAATAATTTTTTTACCTTTGCAAAGGAAATGTTTCTGCAACAACCTCGATATTTCCTGGTGAGAGCCTCGATTCCATTTTGAGTGTTGGGGAATGTTGCGCTGCTATGTTTTATTAATAAAACTCAAATTTGATGTCAGTTGATTAAATGAGACATAGGTAAACATGTTCTCTTCAATGTTCATATCTTTGAAGTACTCACTGTAAATCAATTCAAACTTGGAATGTAAAGAGAACATGGTGATAGGAACAAGCAAGTTTGTGAGGAAATATCAACATTGATGTGAGCTTGCTCATGATAAATACCAGGGATTTTTATGAAAAGAACAAAAAAATAAAATCCATGAAGGCTATTTGTCTGTTTTCAGGAATTATTTTTAGAAAGGACTAACAGTGTCAAGATATAGGGACAGAAAATATTCTAGCATAGTAAGAGCATTCAATATACAGTTAGCAAGTGTAACACAGGCCTTGAGTTTATTGATTTTCTCCCTATGTCATGACATGTATACCTTAACTTACATTTTTCCAAAATGTTACAAAATAGGAAAACTGAACAAAAAAGCAGGACAAAAAGAAAAAAAAATGTCTGGCATCTTTTCTCCATCCTTCAATAATCAATATCACAATTCAAAGTTCGAAAGACCAGCGGCCGAGTTATAACAACTTTGCTAAAGGATATTGTACAACTGCTGCCTGACATTGGTAAGCAACAATAAAATCACCATGTCCCCAGGCCCAGCAAGCCCTACAAAACATATACAGTTGAATTTTAAAATCAGTTTTAACAGTACACATTTGCAAATTATAACTGATCAATACAGACACTGTGACATCTACTAGACCTTCAGCATCTGATGGACATCTTTTTTTAAAACAGAGCAAGAGAAAGCCCATGGACTCATCTAAAACCAATTTTAAAACAAGTTGATAATGAACAAAAAAATTAGGAAAACTTACTTGATTTGACTACACAAACAAACAATTCCATCAAAAATCCACTGGAATAGCTCACACAAACAAAAAAGAAACAATTAATAAACAAAGTAAATAAACAAAATAAACTTACTTGAGATGTCCTGCAACGAGTTCATCATAGGGGGATTCAAACCACTCCTCACATGTTATTTCTGGCGCCCTCAGTTGTAGTCTCTTATTGATGATATGGGGGTGGTTGAATGAGAGGAGCTCCTACAATGTTCAATAGAGATTTAGCCTTTATTTAAGCCACGGTGACAACTTCAACTCTTTTCAGCTTCCACACAACAGATTTGGAGGCAGTAAGTGGGAAGATCACAGCGAGAGACTTTGCTTTCTAAAATTTTTGATGATTATTCTTCAAGTATGATAAATAATATTATGGTTTTAATTGTCAGGATTAAAAAATATATGAGGCAAACAAACATGCGAGGCAAACAAACATGTGAGGAGGCAAACAAACATGTGAGGCAAAATTCAACCCAAGGAGTTTCAGCCATTCCTGGACCCCCCTCCCCTTATCTACTTCATCATGTGTGTTGGCCAAGTTGAATGAAGTACACCATAAAAAACATTCTTGGGGGGAAACACAGTCTTGAGGCAAGACTAATTTTCAGCCAAAAAATACCATATTTTTTTTAATCTCTTTTTAAAGGACTCTAAAAATATTTTTAAGTAAATTTTTGGTGAGACCTCAGACCATACAATGTATTGCTGTAATTAAACTGACAAAGAGGATCTACTGTACATTAAACTTAATACTTACTGCGGCTGATGTGCCATCCTTTACACTAAGATATGTCTCTATCTGCAAAACACGTACATCTTATGTATATACTATACAGTGGCGTAGGAACAATGTACGCCAAAACGCCAGTGCGTAGTGTTGAAAAGTGAGAATAAAAAAGAATTTTCCTGTTGTTCTTAAGTCATATTTTCTCATTGTTCATAAATTGTAAAAGTAATCTCGAGCACACTAGCCTAAAGAAATGTTTTGTGGATACCATATCATTATTGGTCTGTCTGGAAAATATCATTTAACAGATAGAATTCCCTTACCAACATGCTTTATTTCATGAAAATCGAGCCACTATTGAATGTCTTATGAATACAATTTTGCCAAATATTCGTGAATCGCGTTCTCTTCACGAATTTGAGAGGAAAACAGTTTTTTTTCAAAAACTACTTGATGAATACCTTTGACATTTTTTCTGCATTTTCCGTAATGCTTATGCAAACTATGGTATCATATAATTATAATGATGAACCTCTTTAAATTTAGATGTACATTTTTTTATTCTCCCCTACCCCAATTTTTCAATTTCACTATCGATTTATATTCCGTTGCTATGCAAAATCATAGACACGAAATTATAGTTAAATCAACAATTATCTATTTTCTTACTAAATCACTAATTGTTATTGGTAGTACTTTTTGAAATATGGATGTTAAAGACAAAAACAACTTGAAAATGCTGATTATTCAATTACACGTTCCATTGATTTCAGTTCTAGAAAAGCGATTACCTATTTTTTTTTTTTTTTGAAAAATAATAGATCATTCTTGTTTTATAACATTTTTGCCACCCCTTAAGTCACGTTGACCTCGATTTGACCTTTGTGGTGGGTGTGTTTATTTGTTTCATTGATCACGAATGCGTTTCTTTATATCAATTGATCAAACTAGTTCCTTTAATCTGTACGTATTGTATTGCACGGTACACGATGGAATCAGACAATACTATATCTTAATTCAATTATTCGAAAATGATTAAAAAATCTCTAATTGTTTTTTGGAAATTGGTCGTCTCAATCGTTCGAGACATTTGCAAAGTGAGAATGATTTGTGTCGAGACCTTTCCAAGGTGATTTTAAATGATGAAAATCATTCGAACATTTTAAAGCACATTAAAAAGGTATCAGGGATTTAAAGCTTGCATATAAAATCGAAACGCCAACCTATACGTATGACCAATCGCCCATATAAATGCATCGCTTAAGTATTTCCGTTCACATTTAGGTTGTGAAAAACATTGCAAGCTTAAAATCTGTTACCATAAAATGACGTTTTACAAGCATAATATAGGCGTTTTGATATAGAATATTGACACAATTGTTTCATATTTTTTGGCGGGATTTTTGGCGTAGTGTTGCATTTACACCTTCCTACGCCCCTGCTATATATGATCTTTATCAGACCTTTTGTTCCTTTGAATATCTTGAAATGCCACTTTTTACTTGTCACTGTAATCTACTATAGTACATGTACAGCCTTATCAGTGGCATAGTAGTATCCAGATTCTAACGGCTCATCAATATTACACGATAAATTAACTAATAAATCTGACAACACTGCAATACTTTTGTGGTTTTCCCTGTTTGAGAAAGTTGAAACCCATCGATCATTGAGAGCAGTATTTATCAAATGTGTGTCATATGTTTTCCGATGTAAATTACTCCTGGGGAAAACTCCATTTTTTCAAACTCTTGATAAATTTTCTATTGATTCCCAAGAATAAAAAGTGTGGATCAATCACAGTGGATCAATTGCTTTGATCATTAATCCACTGATACATCTGATTCTACTGAAATCTTTTTAGGTTAACTCTAAAGATTAATATCAACGACATTCTTAAAGTTCTTCAATCAAACTGAAATTCAAAATAAAAAAATTAAAAATAAAAAAGGTGGGCGATAATAGGTTATTTTAGTCTATATCCACTCATTCAGTTGCAACAAACAGCATTATATGACCTGAAAGACCTGTCCCCCAAAGCAGTAGTGTATACACTTAAAAATAATAACAAATTCTAGGTGTATTCTCGACAAAATATGACTTACTTGGCTGAGGTACTGGTTCAGAGAAATCTGTGCCATCTTTTTGAAAACAGGAAATCACTGTTGCTCAATTTGATAACATAAAAGGATGCGACTCGAAGAATCGGGAAGTTCAAATTTCAAGTGAATGTACCTTTTAACAAAGCTTTCAGAGAGTCATTACAGTAACACCTCATCTCCCTGAAGGACAGCGCCACCATCACCAAGGATCGATATTCATTACCATGGGGTTTCACTGGCGGATCTGGTGGGGGGGGGGGGGGCTGGCTGGGGACCGAAGGGCCCAGAACAAATTGGACCCAAAGAAAATTTTGGGCAAAAGAAAGCCTTAAGGAAGTTAAGGCCCGAAAAAGGGGGCCTTTTTGGTCATAACTTGGCATTGTAAGGCCTTTTTTTAATTTCAGGCCAAATTTTGAAGAAAATGGGCCTCAAATTTCAAAATTTGGGCCCACTTTTCGGTTTTAGGGGCAGTTTTTTTTCTCCGACCTGAAATTTTGCCCCCCCCAACTTATTGGTTCCCAGATCCGCCCCTGGGTTTCATTTGAGAGCCCATGTATACAGCGATATACACAAGGTTTGATAAACTCATATCTAAATATAATGGCCGAGGTCCCTCCAGGGAGTTGTAGTGAATCGAGCCACTGGACATGAAAGGGTGTATGCTATGAAGGTGTATGCATAATTGATTGATAAATTAAACAAGTCTATAGTATTATTAAAAAATATAAAATATAGCCCGAAGAACTGGTGTGATATTGAACAAATATTTCACTCTATTGAGGTGAATACCTGTACATCATTCACAAGTGATATTTCACGAAGCCCGAAGGGCAAGTGGAATATCACCTTGTGAAAGTGCTACAGGTATTCACCGAAAATAGAGTGAAATATTTGTTTTATTATATCACTGTCTAGCTAAACATCCCTAATATTATTAAGTCATAGGTTAACATTGAAATACATTGAATCTACTCGGTTCGTCTGTCATTTTGACTTACACTGAACTAAATTACTTACACTGAACGAAAACAAATTCTTTGAAAATCCCGGGATTTAAAACTTACCAAAATATTCCAAAATCGTCAAATTTCAGGTTCATTTCCACTCTTCATTTCCTACTTCCGGTTGAGCTTTTGGTTGTTCCAATTTGTTTACTTACCTCCTGACTCCGACTTAACATTTCGGCCTATTCTTTTTGTTTCATGCATATCTACTACATTGATAATTATTGAAATTAATTATATATTGCCCAGATATAACAAATCACGGCGAAAAAATGGAACAGCCTGAAGTGACCAGTGAGTGCACTGAACGAAACACTTAGTACAGAGTCGGGCCGGGGCATGGATCTCGAACTCGAATATACCTCAGGTGAAACATTGACTTTGTTCACAATTTATAGAAGGCGTGAATACAGTCATATTTGAATCCCATGTAAAGCTCTATTCTATGTCTACGTCAATAATATGCTGAATGGCTAATAAAGGGCTAATAATAGAATTTGAATATTATATAATTTAAAACCATAACATTTAAAAATAGATCTATGGTTTACAACTCGTTTTGAAATTGAAAGGAACCTTCCTGGTTGGCCCCTGTACCCCCTGTATCCCCCTGGGAAGTCCCCTACTGTTGAAATACCCTGGGGCGACTGTCAGTCTACCGCGTTGATAGCTTTGTATCACTTACAGAATCAAGTCTGGATTTAGGCAAATGGCTATACAAGCCTACGACCCGGTGTTTATCTTATCTTATAGCACCTTGTCCTTTGCATGAGATCAAAACAAAATCACGTGACTTCAAAAGTTCAAGATGGCGGCCCAAATAAAACCAAAGTCGGAAGGCGGTGGCGGAAATGTCAGAAAACCACAGTTAATAGGGAAGATAGAAGCTGATGATGTAATCAACATGGCAGTGATAATTCCTAAAGAAGATGGTGTGATCAGTGTTAGTGACGACAGGTCCGTTATTGAATTAATACCTTTTGAACTCCTACATTTTTCTGATTTTTGTTAGATATATCTATTTTTATTTTCATCTTTCTCTTGGACCTGTTATTTTGTCTTAGTGTCGAGCCTACGGTATTCCAAAATCTAATGTTTATTAGTTCATATGATATCATTTTCAGGGAAGTATTTATGTCGTGTCGACGCCTTCTTTGGAAATTCTGTACGATGGAAAATAGAACAAATTGGAAAATCAAAACCGGAAGTTCAATCAGAGATGGGGCTTGTCAAATGACCTGATGATTCATTGTCACTCAATGTGAATTTAGTTCTTGCTTGTTTACATTCGTTATATCCAAACTGAAGGTACCACCAGCTGAAATAATGTTTACTCAAATAGCATTTGAAAAGATGTTATTGCCCCATGGGCTATACAATTATAGTAATTGAAAGCCCATGATTGCCCACAGCTGAGAAGTCCTATAGCCATCAACTACCGGTTAAGCTAGAAACCTCACAAAACAGATTATAATATAACTCCCCTGCTTATCTTTCTTTTTCTTTCTTCCCTGCTTGTTGTACTTAGTGTTTGCATAACATTCATTTATGAACATAATTATAATAGACGACACTCATCTATGCATCCGGGAAATCCAAAAATGGCAATACTGTCGCTTAGCAATGCCATGCATGATCATCACATCACTTTCAAAAGACTGGTATCTGAAGAGACGAGGTTGCCCTGCCCCAAGTGACTTTGACTATCAGAGTTTTATATATACACTGTCAGCCAGTGACAAATCTCATATAAATAATTAAAGGCCCAGGGGTGCATTACTGCGCCTACCTGTAGTGTCTGAGCTGATTGTGCATACGTCAGCCTTAAATGGACCATGACCATGAGATGTGATAACTAACTGGTGCTGCACTCTGTTGAGACAAGCATATATTACATGCTACCTTGCCTCCCTATCAGAATGACTCTAGCCATACAGAGTCATAATATAATAAAGGGCACCAGTAGAACTAATAAAATCCTATTATTATATACGGCATTAACATTAAAATTAAAGGTGATATAGCTTTAAAAAATCACTTCAAAGATGTAACAATGATAGAAATTAAACAAACCTGTAATCAATTAAGTTTTAAGTTATTAATTTATTAACCTCATCTTCAGCTCCATTCTGCAGTACTACTATTAGGAAGAGACACACATGATTGTAGAATAGACTACTATCATGGTGTTTATGTTAACTTGTTTTTTTCTTTATTTTCAGAACTGTTCGTGTTTGGTTGAAAAGAGACACAGGATTGTTCTGGCCAAGTATATGTCACAATATGCCAGGTATTTCACAAATATGCCTAGTATATGTCAGATATATACCAAAGTCAAAATATATTAAGTACATGTACAGTGCAGGCCCGTAGCCAGGGGGGGTTCGCAGGGTTCGGGCGAACCCCCCCCTGGCCAAAAATTCTTTCAAAATCATGCAGTATTTCACCATTTTGAGCACTTCTCTTGTGATTTTAGCCATATTTGGGCCAAAATTGTCAAATGTGAACCCCCCCTGGAAATTTTTGAAAACTGAACCCCCCCTTGGCAAATCCTGGCTACGGGCCTGCAGTGTATATGTCATAATGTGCCAACCTTATAACCCTAGTTACATGTACTGTACAGATTACCTGTGTGTGTGCAGGGCCTTGGCCAGCATTTGCCATGGGATGGGAGTGGGGTTAATTTTGCCTCCAAATCCCCCAAAAGTGCTCAAAATAGTGACAAATGAATTGAAAATGCAAAATTTTTACTAAGAGATTTTTGGTCCCAAATTAACTAAATGTGAAATTAAATTGAATATTTTTTTTATGACTCTAAGGTTTATCATTAAAGTTTGTAAAATGCACGTGAATTTATCTTATTTTAAAAGTTCTAAGGCTCTTTCCTCATTTATATGTCCTATCATACAGTTTGGAACTTCATCTACAAACCTCAGAGAAAGCACATTTAAGGCATCAGTATTTTTAGTGAAGAATTGTTTTTGTTTATAACTTGTTGTACTTGACTATAAATGCCTAAGAATGCTTAAAACCTTTTTATGAGAAATTCTTGTGGTCAGGTATTTTTTTATTTTCCTGTTTCAGCTGAGGCTTCTACCATAGCCTTTGACAAACCAACTCACAAACTGTTCATAGGACTTGACAATGGAGCTATTTCGGTAAGTCTCAGAAAAGGTATACATACTATCTACTATATATATACATACTAGGTATACATTATCAACAATTAAATTGAATCAATTTTTATTTTATCAACAAATTGAAAAGGATTACTGTGAATTGCTTTAATTTGACATATGTTGTAATTTGATTGATTTGGTAGATTGATAAATATCACCAAATTACATCTCAGCTAATTTTTTGAAAATGAATTTTCCGTGGATTTTGGTTCATTGTCTTTTCAATACTGTTACATTACACATAAAACTTTGGTTAAAATCTTGATTGAAACATGGATAAATATGGTCAACTTTAACCTCTTGAATCCCAGGCTCTAAAATCGGTTGAAACCAGAGATTTTTTCATTTTCGTCACCTTTTTTACATTATACTACATACCTATACAACTTCAGATGCTCAACGTAGTAAAATTAGACGTCAGAGATCATTTCTACACATTTAAAATTTTTTTTTGTGTAAATTGGATGAAAATTGTTCAAATAAGAGCAATTTTAGTGAAAAATTTTGTGACGGATTTTCTCGTCACTCTGGGTTTCAAGGTCATTTCTGAGGTGACGAGAAATCTCGTCACTCCAGGTAGTCAAGAGGTTAAAATATTTTCTAAGATCTACAGAGTCCTCACTGGTTTCGATAAAACAATCTGATACCAAGAAAGATAAAATTCCTTTATTGGTGTCAAGCTGTGAAGTGAGAAATACGACTGATAGACTAAGTGAGAAATACGACTGATAGTGATGATGGTCAATCTGCCAAATTAAATAGCAGCCAAAATTACAAAATTTGCCCAATCCCCCAAATTAAATAATGCCAAATTAAAGTAATTTAGGGGAGGCATCAAAAGTTCAATGTCGGATCGGAAACTTAATAAATCTAGTTTTTACTCTGACCCCCCCTCCCCCCCAAAAACTAAAATACCATAAAAGTTGATCGCTGACTTCCCGTTTGAGAATTTGAAAAATTATTGCTTAACACGATCTAGTTTTTGTTAATTCCTATCGTAATTTGCGGCTTTTAACAACTATTGATCAAATAGAATCCATTGGAATGATCTTGACGATGAAAGCATCAGGTAAAATCTTTATTTTTAAACCATTCAAAGGCATTCTCAGTCGAAATTGCCGTTGAAATTTGTCTGATAGCAAACTGAAATGGATTTGAACCCCCTCCCCCCTAACTAAATTTATTTAGTTTTCTATCCGACATCGAACTTTTGATGCCTCCCCTTACTGCAAACTGTTTGATCAACATCAGCATCATATACTTTTTCTTGCAGGAGTTTAAGTTAGCCGAAGACTACAATGCAATGACACATATTAGAGATTATATTGGTAAGGCAGGTTATACAATCGGTAGATTGAATTACACTATTTTTTGAGATTTTGTATGCAAACAACTTAAGCTCCAAGGGCATTGCTCTTAAAGGCGCACTATACTTAATTTAGAAGAAAAAAAATCATTGAAACATGTTACTCACACACTAGCTCAAATATGACACAAAGTTTGATTTGCTTTAATATTGAACCAAGAAAAAAGTAACTCACATAGAGAAAAGCATTTGAAGTTCAGAGATCATTAGACACGCATGCACATGTTTTACAAAGTGCATGTTTTAAATTACTATTGATTTGAAAGATGGCGACACTTCTATAAAAATGAATGTATCATGTAATACAAACAACTCTGCCATCTTTCAATGACATTGATAAAAACTTGATATACAATATTGTATAAAGCTTGACAGATCGAAAATATATTTTGATAATTTATTCTTGTAAGCTTTGATGTTGTCCATTTGAGCTGTTGTTTGTGTCAAATGAAAGATAAGGTTCTTATCAACACATTGGACATACTATGAAATTGCAATGTAAGTCTTTATTTTGCCCAAAAATGTTGACAATTCCCAAAGTGCACCTTTATAGGCCCTTCATTTAGTTCAGAATGAAAAACAGTACTAAGCCACAAGGCCTGACAAAAATGTGTTAGATTATATCCAGTATACAAGAACAGTATATCAGAGCTGTAACTTTCTACGTTTTGTCTACCATATTCAATAATTTCTGTTTCAGCGCACCAGAGCCGAGTAACTGGAGTGTATTTCTCAGTGCAGTGTGAATGGGTGCTAAGTACAGGTCGGGATAAATACTTCCAGTGGCATTGTTCCGAGAGTGCACGTCGACTGGGAGGATACCAGACATCAGCCTGGTGCACATGTATAGAGTATCCTTGAAAATATCATACAAGGGGTGATCAATGAAACCTACACGTAGGGAGTTATTTAACGCTTCTAATATTGAACGTTCTAATTCAGTAGTGATGTCATGTTCTAAATTTAGAACCTTCCAAAAATGATATTGTCGGTGACAATTGAAGCAATTCAAAGAACAATCCTCATAATGACACGTTTATTGTGAATATTTGTACATAATATTTGCCCCATTTGTGGAGGCTATGTGGAATAAGAAATCTTAGAGAAAGGGTTGGGGTGTGTATGTTTACTGCAGTTTTATCATAGTACGACTCTCAGTTTAACCAGTTTTGTGAAATAAAGGATAATAGCCTTAACATTGGTTAGATTTGATGAACAGTCAAAGTATGTTTTTGTTGGTGACTATGGTGGCTGTATTACAATACTAAAGATTGGAGACAATAACTTTGAAGTCATAACACTGCTTAGAGGCCATACTGGTGGGTGAATATTTTACATATTTACGTTTGCTAAGTTGTATGTGCAGTATGGCAGTGATTTTAGACAGTTATACTGAAAACAATGGATAGCACGAGTTTTCCCTATGGGAAAGTAACATGGGATATGTGTTTTTTAACTAAACGGATTTCAATACACATCCTCTTTTCAGATATAGTTAACCTCTTTACTACCTTGAGTGATGATATTTCTCGTCATCTCAGAAATGTTCTTGAAATATGGATGTGATACAATTGTCAATAAAAGCTGCCATGATGAAATTTCGAATTCATGTTTTCATTCATAATTCATTCATTATGTTGAAGAATTATCATGTTTCTCCTTCTAATGTAAACCATTCATAGAATATTCATTCATTATTTGAAGAATATATGAAATTTATATTTGACTTACAATGTACTGTGTGTTTCAGGAAGTGTAAGAGCATTAGCTTGGGATGCCGATAGAAGCCTTTTATTTAGTGGAAGTTTTGACCAATCTATTATAGTATGGGATATAGGGGGACAGAAAGGCACTGCCTTTGAATTACAAGGTCACAAGTAAGTTTTTAAAAGTCTATTATAGTATGGGATATAGGGGGACAAAAGGGCACTGCCTTTGAACTACAAGGTCACAAGTAAGTTTTTAAAAGTCTGTTATAGTATTGGATATAGGGGGACAAAAGGGCACTGCCTTTGAACTACAAGGTCACAAGTAAGTTTTTGAAAGTTGTATAGTATGGGATATAGGGGACAGAAAGGCACTGCCTTTGGCCTTTGAACTACAAGGTCACAAGTTAGTTTTTAAAAGTCTATTATAGTATGGGATATAGGGGGACAAAATGGCACTGCCTTTGAACTACAAGGTCACAAGTAAGTTTTTAAAAGTCTATTATAGGATGGGATATAGGGGGACAGAAAGGCACTGCCTTTGAACTACAAGGTCACAAGTATGTTTTTAAAAGTCTATAAATTATAGTATGGGATATCGGGGGACAAAATGGCACTGCCTTTGAACTACAAGGTCACAATTAAGTTTTTAAAAGTCTATTATAGGATGGGATATAGGGGGACAGAAAGGCACTGCCTTTGAACTACAAGGTCACAAGTAAGTTTTTAAAAGTCTATAAATTATAGTATGGGATATAGGGGGACAAAAGGGCACTGCCTTTGAACTACAAGGTCACAAGTAAGTTTTGACCAGTCTATTATAGTATGGGATATAGGGGGACAAAAGGGCACTGCCTTTAAACTACAAGGTCACAAGTAAGTTTTGACCAGTCTATTATAGTATGGGATATAGGGGGACAAAAGGGCACTGCCTTTGAACTACAAGGTCACAAGTAAGTTTTGACCAGTCTGTTATAGTATGGGATATAGGGGGACAAAGGGCACTGCCTTTGAACTACAAGGTCACAAGTAAGTTTTGACCAGTCTGTTATAGTATGGGATATAAGGGGACAGAAAGGCACTGCCTTTGAATTACAATGTCACAAGTAAGTTTTTAATTTAAAAGTCTAATCCAAATACCACTGGGACTAGCCAAAAGTGTTTGGATCATCAGCTGTTTACATTTCCAGATTTTTTTAACATAAGAGTCTTATGGCAGATTAAAAATGAATGGAAAAAACATTGACACTGAGAAGTGTTCAGATATGCAGGTTCACATTGTCACTGAATGCCAACTTTGTAAGATGGCATACCATTTTTACCAATTTGTATCAAGAATTTCACACAATTTTTTAAATATAAAGTGCTAATCTCAGACAAGTTTTGTGATCCAAAATGAAGTTATTTAAATGGCATTATGATTTCCTAGTTAACAGAATTGTATTGTCTTGTTTAACTTTCCACTATTTTCACTCAAATTCTTGTAATTCAGCATAATATGCATCCTCCGATCACAGGGCTCCAAAATTCAGAATATATTCTTTCTTGTTACCCCCTGCGATAAGCAGTTAGCATTTCCCCGATTAAGAACTCGCAATATGACTGGGTGTCGCAACACTGTGACAGAAACCATGTATAAGTCATTGCGCACAATTAGATCACATGATTCAGTTTAATTGGCCGCTTCCAAATTGTTTATAGCAGGGGGGAAGAAGGAGCTATGGATTCTGGATACCTGCTTTAGAGGATGCATAGTATGAGGCCTAATAAATACTAAGGTCGAGTAAAGTCTCAATACTTTTTTATTCCTTGCTTTTTACATATTTTTGTATTATTTCCAGTGATAAAATCCAGTCAATGCTCTATGCACCCTCCTCAAAACAACTCATATCTGGCGGGGATGACCACACTCTTGTTGTATGGAACATGGACTCAAAACGCAGTGAAGTACATAATTTGACGATTAACATGTAACTCTCTCATAGTGTCAATCAAATTCTGCACTTTTTCTTTAAACAATATTCATGTAATATTCATGTAATATTCATAAGAGATTTAATAATAGTAAAAAAGTTTGATGATTCAGGAACCAAATGGTTCAGTTCATTGCTTTTAAGAGCATTGGACTTTTAATGGCCAAATTCAAAAACAGATATGAATTATTGAAGATTGTTAAGGCCCGGTCACACCGCCCGGACGTTGCTGGAGCGTTCCTTGAACGTTGAAAAAATTCATCAACGCTCGTAAACGTTCACCACCGTTTAACAAAAGTTGGCATTCGTTAAAGCAACGCTGTAAACGCTCGGCCAACGCGGATGTTTCTCGAGTGGCCATCCTAACGCTCCAAATGTTTTGAGCTGCTCAAAATATTGCGAGCGTTGAAAAGGGACAATTTTACGCCCTGGAAAAGTTTATCACCGCTACACCAATGCCCAGTCAAAGTTTTGCACCGCTAGATGCAAGTTCGTGGACGCTTGAATCCGCTAGACCAACGCAGAAATCTTAAACGCTGGACCACCGCTGCTTCGCCAGCGTTGCCCGGGCGGCGATTAAACGTTGCACAAACGTCGGTGGAGCGGTTGTTAGCGTTTTATCAGCGTACATGGGGTTGTTGGAACGGTGTCGGACGTTGTCGCAGCGTTCCATGGCGGCGATGAACTTTGCTTTGGCGTTGGTATAGAGGTGTCGGAGCGGGACCAGAATTTGGCTATAAATACGTGGAAAAAATACTTAAAATACTGGAAAAAATACTAAAATACTTAAAGTACTGGAAAAAATACTAAAAAAATACTAAAAATACTTAAAATACTTCAGCTCAGTAGTCAAACGCGATATGCTGCTAAACCAACGCTGCTGCTATTTATACCCCCGCCGAGGCAACGCTCTCATGCGCAGAACGCCGCTATACCAACGCTCGCATTACCGCTTAACAAACGCTAGTTACCGCTCGCAACCGCTTAACCAACGCTAAAGCAACGCCGGCTTCAGCGGTGCACCGCTAAGCCAACGCCCGTGTTTTTGTTTTTTTCCTCATTTTGTGCGCGTTGACGAGCGTTGATGAATTTTTTCATCGTTCAAGGAACGCTCCAGCATCGTCCGGGCGGTGTGACCGGGCCTTTATATTTTGGAGGAAATTGAATAAGAGAGTATTATATTAAATGGCTAGTTAATAAACCACTTGATGTGCATGCTTTACACTAAGCTTATTCAATTACAGACTCCAAGTTGGAAAGACAATGATACGTGCCAAAAATGTGGAACTCCATTTTTCTGGAATTTCAAATCTATGTGGGAACAGAAAACTATAGGATTACGGCAGGTAGAGTTAAAGCATTTTCTTTGGCTTATTCCATTATAATGTCAGTATTTAAGTTTTTATCACACTTTTTCAAGGCGATAATTTGTTGTCATCTTGCGCTGATGGGTGTCTGGGACATCTGGGTAGCCAGGAATAAATCAAAATTCCATGAAAATCGCTCACTTGTTCATCTTGAAATTTTTCTGATACAAGAGCTGTCAGTTCCAAGACCCAATTAGGATTTTGGTGTGCTTGATAAATTGCATGATAGTCATTTTGAATTTTGATAAAAAAAAGTGTTATATTAATCATTTTGTGTCTTAAAATCTTCAAAATTACTATTGACATTATTAAACATATGCTATCAACCATTATATTCATATCACCCATAATGCATTTCAGCATCACTGTCGAAAATGCGGTAAAGCAGTGTGTCATAAATGCAGTTCTGCCAGATCGTCAATTCCTGCAATGGGCTATGAGTTTGACGTACGAGTCTGTGACGAATGTTTCAACACAATCACGGATGAGGAGTAAGTATTTGAGATTTATTTTAAATTTTAAAGACAGAATCATTCATGAATTTTCAAGTCTAAAGCCTTTAGATAAGTAAACTCATCAGCATACTCCATGGCAAGGCCAGTTATGTGAGTAATGCTAAAGAAAGATGAAGTAGAAGTATGTTTGGAGAGGAACTCAATTGTATGAATGTGATAGTGATAGAATTTTAATTTTAAATTCTAATATGAAACGTGACGTCACAATAGCTAGAACAATTGATTTACTGGTTTATATTGGAGTATGTATTACTGCTAAAATTCTTAAATGCAAAAAGTTGTGTTTGTTGTCTGTTTATTATCATATTAGAATCATAACAAAGACCTCGATTTTATGATTTATGTCAAATATAAGACCTCAAATTTTATTCTGGCCATTGCCAAAGACCTCAATGGCTATGTGATTTCGGTCTTTAAAAAATGAACAGAATAAAATTTTTGGTCATACATTATGACATAAATCATAAAATCTCCGTCTTTATTCCTTATTTAATGATCAATTTGGAAAATATCAGTCAGTGCTCAATTGCATTTACCTAAGGGATGAAAGGAGTAGTCTGATATTTGAGTAATTACATTTTGAAACAAACATTGAATTTAAAAAGTTATTTCAGTAAAAATTCTTCTTGCGAGGTATATACTGATGTTATGCAGGGTGTCCAAAGAGCCCCTACAATTACTATACAAAGTAGTTGTGAAGTATAAAGAGACGTTATGGACACCCTGTATTATTGCATTTGTTTAACAACGTCATAATGGTCATGTTTTAAAATGAATCAAAAGCAGAAAAAGTCGAATTCCAAAGAATTAACAAAACTAGTCAACAATTAGTTCATTCTATGAAGCATGCAGTTAAAGAGAGAATCAGATCTTAGCCAGCAAGCCAAAAACAAGAATTGCTCCAATTTTAGAATATTTTTGGCTCCTATCATTCTTTGTCATGTATATTGTCTAAAAATTCTCAAAGTACATACTTTATTCCAGGAAAATTTTTTTTTACAATAATGTGTTATTTATTTTTCTATTTTTATGGTTACGATTTTTTACTCTTTGGATATATTGTATTTAAGGTCACTAGGAATAGAATCGGGCCAATTATACATGTTGTTTGCAATTTTGTCACCACATATAAATCTAAGTTTAATCTTAAAGCAGTTTATAAATAGAATAGAATGAAGGGATAAAAATAAGTAACAATGTAAAATACAAGAGATTTTACAGAAGCTTAACCTTGGTTTAACTATTTTTTATGAAGTTACTTATAATTTTCTTACCTAGACAAATAAGGGAATTGTTGAGGTGAGAATCAGATGTCGAATGCCATGTTTGTTCATGTTTTAACCTCTTGAATCCATGAGGCTCTAGAATCGGTCGAAACCAGAGAAATTTTCATTTTTGCCAGCTTTTGACATTTTACTACATACGAGATACAACAGATGATGCTAATTTTAGTAAAACTAGACGGCGGAGATCATTTCTAGACATTTTAAAACAATTTTTGTGTAAATCAGATGAAAATTGTTCAAATAAGAGCAATTTTAGTGAAACATTTTCATGGTCATTTCTGAGGTGGCAAGAAATCTTGTCACTCTCGGTAGTCAAGAGGTTAATATTGAGTTGAAACATGGAAGTGTGTATTGTACTATAGTCACATAATAATAAGTTAAAGTCACATAATAATAGGCTTTAAATGTAAGAAGAGGCATCTTATATACTTTTTCATTTTTTCTAACTTTATAAACCTCAAAAAACTTTGTATGTATTTTTCAACTCCAGAATGCCATGATGTGCTACAATTTTAAAGTTATGAACATTAATTTTTCACAGGAAGATCATTTCTGTTACTGCTATGTTTGAGCTGGTTTTGTTTCTCCATGGCAAAGACAAAATTATAGTTCAGGCCTGTAGCCAGTTCTGGAGTTCTGTTTTTATGTCACCACCAAAAGTGGTGACATATTGTTATGGTCTCCGTTTTTTTATGTCACCACCAAAAGTGGTGACATATTGTTATGGTCTCCGTTTTTTTGCGACAGCGGTTGGTGGTTGGCGTCCGGCGGTTGGTGGTTGGCGTCCGGCGGTTGGTGGTTGGCGTCCGGCGTCTGTAACAATTTCTTACAACTTCCTATAACTTAACAAATACTGTTTAGACTGACTTCAATTTTTTTCTAAATCATCTACATGTTCTCAGAAGTTCAAATCTGACTTTAGATTTGACATTTGACCTTCAATGACCTTCTCAAGGTCAAAAAGGTCAAAAAGGTCTGTTTTCAACTTGCTTCAAATTGACTAAAAAAAATTTTCAAAATCATCTACGTGTTCTCAGAAATTCAAATCTGACTTAAGATTTGACATTTGACCTTCAATGACCTTCTCAAGGTCAAAAAGGTCTGTTTTCAACTTGCTTCAAATTGACTAAAAAATTGTTTTCAAAATCATCTACGTGTTCTCAGAAATTCAAATCTGACTTTAGATTTGACTTAAGATTTGACATTTGACCTTCAATGACCTTCTCAAAGTCAAAAAAGTTCAAAAAGGTCTTTTTTCAACTTGCTTCAAATTGACTAAATTTTTTTTTTCAAAATCATCTACATGTTCTCAGAATTTCAAATCTGACTTTAGATTTGACATTTGACCTTCAATGACCTTCTCAAGGTCAAAAAAGGTCAAAAAGGTCTGTTTTCAACTTGCTTCAAATTGACAAATTTTTTTTTTCAAAATCATCTACGTGTTCTCAGAAATTCAAATCTGACTTAAGATTTGACATTTGACCTTCAATGACCTTCTCAAGGTAAAAAAAAATCAAAAAGGTCTGTTTTCAACTTGCTTCAAATTGACTAAAAATTTTTTTCAAAATCATCTACGTGTTCTCAGAAATTCAAATCTGACTTTAGATTTGACTTAAGATTTGACATTTGACCTTCAATGACCTTCTCAAAGTCAAAAAAGGTCAAAAATGTATTTTTTCAACTTGCTTCAAATTGACTAAATTTTTTTTTTCAAAATCATCTACATGTTCTCAGAAATTCAAATCTGACTTTAGATTTGACATTTGACCTTCAATGACCTTCTCAATGTCAAAAAAGGTCAAAAAGGTATTTTTTCATCTTGCTTCAAATTGACTAAATTTTTTTTCAAAATCATCTACATGTTCTCAGAAATTCAAATATGACTTTAGATTTGACATTTGACCTTCAATGACCTTCTCAATGTCAAAAAAGGTCAAAAAGGTCTTTTTTCAACTTGCTTCAAATTGACTAATTTTTTATTTCAAAATCATCTACATGTTCTCAGAAATTCAAATCTGACTTAAGTTTGAACTCATAATATTGTGAGCAACTAGGTGGTGACATTTTGTCATGTTAATGCCTTGTTTTGTGAATCCCCTGACCAGAAATATTTCAAAATCATTCAATGTTCAACCATTTCAAGGACTTCAAGTGATTTTTTGGCAAATGACCCCCCCCCCCCCCTCCCTGGCAAAAGCTGGCTACTGGTCTGCAGTTCATATATCCATTCATCCAAAAATTAAAAGAGATAGTGGGTGAAGTTGACATGACCAAAATGGCATTTAACACACATGTAATTATTGTATCTAGCTTAACGTTAGTCCAACAAGTTAAACCTAGTCTGGCCCTTATTTCTTATCAGACATACGTACATGTATATCTTGTGGCCCCAACCCGGCACCAAGAAAATTTAGATTAATAAATAAAGCTAGATTGAGTTAAATGTGTTGAACTAGCTAAATGTACATTATCTTTGCATCTACTGTAGTTGTCACTTTGGTTCAGTAAAATACATCATTGTGTTACAAAACCTTCAGAGTGAACAGGCCTTCCTTTGAATTTTTTTTTGTTATATGTGTTCGGAAATCATGCTCAAAATATTTTGATTATGTTTAGTTGTTGGCTTTCTAATGTGTATGCACAACTACTGATGGAAATACTGATGTGGGATGAGTTGTTGTAATGTACAATTCATGTAGAGATAGATGTAGATGTAGATGTAGAGAAAAATGATTCATTTGAAATGAAAGATTAGGCCATAAGAAGTAGATTCTTTGTTTTGTGTCCTGGCAAAATCCAAATCATGCAATGGTACAAGGAGAACAAACACAAACTCAAGAAAAAACAAAATCTTGTTTGCTTAAGATATGTATACATTTTATGGACATAAAAAGGGATGACATACTAATTTGCAGTGATTATAAACACATATTAATGCATCATATACAATATATTTAAACATATATAGCTATTATTCAAAGGTATCCAGAAATACACAATGTATGTCACAGAGATCAATATTGACCCACATCAAATCGTCCATCATTTTGATTCCGACTGAACGAAATGCGATGGTACTTTCAGACCCTTGTGAATGCTATTAAGATGTGTTTGTTTTTTCTGATTTACTTAAAATTGTGCAAGCAAGGGGATGCGAAACAAAGAATTTACTTCTTATGGCCTTACTCAATCATTTAGTATTCCTCAAATTTCATATATTTAAAATTAGCAGTAAACTCCAGGTGAACCAGCCTAGAGCAACTGGAAACAAGCCCATTTTCCTGGCAGACACCATGGACATGTGAATAGTCAGGATGTAGTTACAACTCAAAAATATTTATTGGAAACTCAATTCAGAGAGGAAAATGATGTGAAATAATTTTCACAATATTAGTTGAAAGTACCAGTTGATTCAGATTCATCCAAACATGTTCATAGCTAGGCCAATGACATACTGTTAATATAGATAGATTCTTGCTTTATTTAAGCGATCTTTACCGTATTCTCTCCAATAACGATACATATCATTATTGTAGAAATATGCTGTCGTCACTTTCGTTGCAAATAAGACATTTTTGGCAAGAAAAATTCCAATTCATGAAATTCCCGGGGATTTTTGACTTCTCTGATGTATGGCCGCTCTTTGTAATGGCTACTAATGGTAATTTCAATTTCAAAAGCGCCCTGGGCGCTTTTTACGGCGAATACGGTAGATATCATATGTAATAGCAGGCTTGCAACCAGGGAGGTTGGTGGGGGGGGGGGGGGGGTTGAGCAATCCTCTGGCCATAAATTATTCAAAATCATGCATTATTTTCAACAGTTATATGATCTTGAGCCAAAATTGTTCCGAACTCTCCCTGGAATTATTTTAAAAATTGACCCCCCCCCTTGGCAAAAACTGGCACAGGCCTGTCTAAGAGCGAATTTTACATGATGCATGAAGTGTGTCAATGTGTTATAGATGAGCATGATATATGATAGCTTTGTATGTAAATTGGACTTAAATGTTTATTCTTATAAAATATATATACATTTTGTTTATATGAGGTTCCCTGATGGTTATTTCTGTACTGTTTTTATCATGTTACTTGTACCCTATAAAAAGTCCTTTAATATTTGAGTTTGAAAATCAGTCAGTGTAAATGTAATCTTTGATGCGCTTTATATGCATATTTAAATTGTTTTGAAATTTCCCAAAAAAAGAATTTCCCAAGAAAAAATCTAGGCAGAACACTGTTTTGAAAAGGGGTTAAATTTTTGAAAGCATCTTTAAGTAACATCTGTAAATATGTCGCTCTTTCCCAGATTAACGAGTAGGGCAAATTGCAATAGAAAAATGTACGTATATCTCCACATCTTTTTTTTTCTTTTTTTTTCTTTTTTTATTGAATCAAACATGAGGTAATACATTTAACAAGGAAAATATGAAATATTAAGCCACTTTCACACCACCTCCATTCATTCAGACATTCGCAACAGTCATACCCAAAAGTTCTGGAATATAAAAACATAGTATTTTCAAATTGAGTCACGTCCAAGTTTGGATTTACCTCATTAAATTGTTTTGCATATATATAATATTTAATTGCTAGTGATAGCCTATTTAGCAAAATGTTTACATTATTTACAGATCTTCCGAACACCATATCATGGGCATCAAAATCAAGATTTACACTAAATAATTTCTCTAAATTCTCTTTAATAGCTTTCAAAAAAATCTGAACCCGCCTACATTCCCAAAACTTGTGCTTTAAAGTGTCTCATAGTGAACAATAACTACATTTAGCATCCTGTTTAATTCCTATCTGTGTTAAGTAAGCATTCGTGGTACAAATACCATGAAGAATTAAATTGGAGTTGTCGAATTTTATTTTGTTTCGTGCAGCTATAAGCCATTTTGAAGTAGTCTGTTCTTTTTAACTCACGATCATGTTCATCTTTATACAATGGTTCCAAATATTTGTTTCTATTTATTATTTTTTGAATTGACTTAGCTGTTAAACCATTCAATGACACTGGTTTTCCGCCAAGTGTGAAATGCACAAGATCCGTCTGTAGGCTCGGTTCAAAGACAGAAGTTAAGTCTCACTTCAATAAGCGTACATCTTTTTGATATTTGGAGAAATGGAGTTAAATGGTTAAATAAAGTAATCTAAAATAGGAACATTTTTTCCATTGTTTCAGCAAAGCCCTTTTGGCAACTTATCTGACCTTGAATGTTTTTCATTGTTTCAGCAAAGTCCCTTTGGCAACTTATCCGACCTTAAATATTTTTTTATCGTTTCACCAAAGTCCTTTTGGTTTTCTCGTCTGACCTTGAATGTTTTTAGATTGTTTCAACAAAGCCCTTGTTTGACTTTCAATATTGGATTATTCCATTCTTTAAAGGAATTCTAGTCGATAAAAATAACAAAATATTGCTTCTGGGACAAGATCAAACAACTTTTACATATTCTTTACCCTACCTATTTTGTATTTTAACAATCAACACAAGTATACATACCATATTTCAGCAAAATATTTTTTGATTGATAAAATCATTGATTATAAAAATCGGAAGTGTGTTCTGTGACATCTGCGTGTGAATATTTCAGTTATTCCGATTTTGCTGTGGATTTGATTTTAAATGCTCTTAAATGATCTTCTAATGCTCACTATGATTTCTATTAGTAATGTTTTGACTTCCCTGCTTCATAAAAAAGAACATTATCACCATTTACTCAACTCGGAAATTCTCTTCCGATCTGTCGAAATAAAGATGAGCTGAAAGTTGTCGTGAACACCTTTCAATCTTCAGTCTAAATATCGCTATTCAAGGTTCAATAGGCGACTTTGAATGGACTTTCATGCATAGTTCGAAAATTGAATCACCAGAGAAGGTTTTAAACCTTTCACATATTGTATGATCTTATTGTTTTTTTTCATTGTTTCAGCAAAGCCCCTATGGCAACATTCCATGACACAAAGCACAGCATAATGTTTATGCACCTGGATGAGACCCGGAAACTGCTTCTCACCATAGGCAAAGACAGAGTAATGAAGGTAAACTGAGATGAATGTTTTTACTGCTAATTTGTATTGCACGTTTCCCTGAATGATTGATGAATATCCAAAGTGACATCTACATCTGTATAAATGTTCAGGTGAATGAGCTTATCAGTGCAGTGTATCCCAAAAGTATGGCCCCCCATAGGCAGGCATACACGAATGTCCCCATAGTACATGTACAAGTATGTGTCATATATCACTTTAAAGCTTATCAAAAGTTACATTGATTTGCCAAGTATCATGGTTGAACTCACAAATGGGAAAAAGTTACAGGCATTTCAAAACTTAGTGTTTGACCAAAATTAAAGTTAAATTCAGTATCCTGGAAACAGCACTAACCTCAATGTGACCAAAAATGTGCATGCTATCGTCAAAGAGAGGATGGATATTGAGTTGTAAAAAGAGATAAGTGAGGGTAGATACTCCAAGGAAATTCTTCTAAAATGCCTTAAAAGGTTTTATGAGCATTACAAAATACTATACCCATATTTGCGTATTTAAGGTCATGTCTTGAAAGAATTGCTGCTGTTTATATGGCCAAGGGAGACACGCCGACTATTAATTTTTTGTAAAACTAAGCTGTAATTTTGGTAAAACACTACATTTTGAAATGCTTGTAACTTTTTCCCGTTTGTGGGTTGATTCACCCTTAGAAAAAACATCCATTTTTCTGAATTTCAACCGTTAAAAACTATTGCGTAACCATTAAAAATCATTGCGTAACCATTACTGCAACCATTTGAAATGGTTTCCAACCATTACATTTCAACCATTAAAATTTGATTAAAAAAGTTGGTTGCATATCAAATGAATTGAATGCATGATTATGTTTCAAAATACGGTAGTTCATGGTTACAATGTACAAGTATTTCTAATCAATTTAAGAGAATAAGGTTTATTCATTTTTGGCACTGAATATGACTTCAATTTCATTCTTATAGGCATATTATCCCTATAAACATGGGCTTTCTATTGAATGCCCATGCTATAAAGAATTAGATTTATCATTTTTGGCACTGAATCATGACTTCAAGATCATGTTCATAGAGATATTATTTCTTTTTTATTGAAGAGAATCAAGTGTAATACATTTTTGCCCCTGGTCATTCTTGTAGTTTATTTGGAAATTCCTTCTTGATTCATTCAGTTTTACTAAACAATACAACAAAACGTTCTGTGGAATTTTTCTATTTTTCTCCTGTCTCAAAGAAAAAATGGTTCTGATTAAAAATACACACATATTATGAAACATCAAAGATTGTATTTCCTGCCTATTGTTTATGATTTGGATTAAGCTAGTGCCGAAATAACTGCTTCTTCGATATCAAAGAAGTCTTATTACAACAATTAAGTAGATTAAACTGAAAATGTAATCAAAGCATGATTTTTGAAACATCAACATTCTTGTATTTATGCTTTGGATTAGGCAAGAGCCAAATAACTACATGTAATTGATTAAATTCAAAATCAGCAACCAACTTTATCAATATCAGTGTTAATGAGTTTCTGGAGAGATACCTTTACATGTAGTAATCAGATAGGGAAGTAGAATTTCAAAATTTTAAGTACATGTACATCAAGGCAACTCGAACTGCAACAAGGTAATACTATCATGTTATGGCTTATTTAAGAATACATGTAGATTGACATTTTTGTAAGAATCTATTATAATCTACCCCAAAAGCTACATCCCTGATCTTGAAATATTCTTGCTTAGCACTGAGACATAAAAAGCCTTTGCTTAGCAATAGATTAGATGCAAGTATAGAATTAATGATTTTGATTTTAATCACTTAGTATTCATAATTCACTTCAAGTAATATGATATTCGAAATGTGCACATTGAGAAATGTTGTCTTAAAGTTTGTAAGTCAACTTCAATTCAAAGTACTTATATCAATTCCCATAGAGCCCATGTTATAAAATCATAATGACTGTAAGGGAAATGTCTTAGACACTTGGACAGATGATATTTCCTTTTACTAGAATGGTATTATGCCTATGAGCATGAACTTGAAGTCATATTCGGTGCCAATATGCATTTCCATTATTCTCTTCAATAAAATCATAAACTTGAAGTCATGAATACACCTTCTTCCCTTCAATTAAATAGAAATAATATGCCTCTGAGCATGAACTTGAAGTCCTAGCCAGGGTCAAAAATGAATACACCTCATCCCCTACAATCAAATGAAATTAATCAGATTGAAATAAACTGTATTTTGAAATTTTATCATACTATTTAATCACTTCTTATTTTTTTCAGTTATGGGATATGGTTAGTGTGTTGCAGTAAGTGTCTTAACAAATGAGTTAAGTGTAGTCGAGAGAAGAATGAATTTAGTCAGCAGGAATTGAAGAATGAAAAAATAATTCTGTACAAACTCACATGAAAGGAAAACAAATAACTAAAAGCGTGACTAGTCTTTAAATGACTCTCTGTTGTCATAGCAACACAAACAACATATTTGCCACTTCTGTGGTAACAAATTATTTTGATCGAAGTGATCAAATTACAACACGTGTATCAGAAATACAGGGTGTCCACCTTTTCGCTTTACACAGACTTTGTTTTGTAATTGTAAAGAGAGTTTAGGGACACCCTTTATTTATGTAGATAAAGGACATGTCAATGTTTCAATATGGCCTTTATTTAAAAAATCTCAAAATGTACACTGAGATTATGTTTTTGTGCTGGATCAAAAGTCATAATTTGGCAAAAAGCAATAAATTATCATTATATTTGGGGGGTTGGGGGAGGGGTCCCTAAGATAAATATGGGATTTTCCCTCCTTCCCCTGCATGTTCAATGCTCTAAAGTGAAAATGTTTCATGAATATTACTTGACAGAATTCCTTACTGCAAGATACTATGGATAATTATCCCAAAGAACTTCGTTCGTTAGGGATATAGTGAAGCCCTCCGTCCGTCCGTCTGTCCGTCTGTCCGTCAGTCCGTCTGTCCGTAAGATAACTCAAATAGTAGTTGACAGATTTTCTTCATATTTAGTGGAAAGATGTATATTGGTGAATAGTTTTAAGCAAAAAAAATTTTTTCAAAATGGCCGCCGCTTTAAAAATGACGGGATTTTTTCACAAAAATCATAAATTTTTCATTCTAAACCAAAGTAATTAATATTATTGTTTGAAATTTTGGTAGTGTATTCACAACATTTATCTATTTCACATATATTCCGTGTTTTTCATCCTGACACCCAGGGGTCATGTATAGGAAAACAGAAATTTTCGCTAATTTTTTGATCTTTCTGAAGTATAGCTTTATTATACTCAAATGAAAGGCAATTAAAAGTAGATTGCAAATATTGTATCTTTTTTCTGATTCAAGCCTCGTAAAATTCAATGGCCGTCTAATGTACGATTTCGCAGTAATTTTTTGATCCCTTCAAAGTATGGCTATATTATACTCAAATTGAAGGAATTTTGGAGTAGATCACAATTATGGTATTATTTTTCAGATTTGTACCTCAGAAAATTCAAAATGGCTGCTTTGCAGGAATTCGCAATTCTAAAATCAAATTTTTTCATTTTCAACCAAAGTAATGAGTATAATTGATTGGAATTCGGTAATTGATATTTTGTTCGTTGGGATTTGCTACTCCGTGGAGTTTCCGTTATCTAGTTGAATGTAATCTGTTATTACAGGATACATATTCTCTATAACTAATGCTGGTGCTTGTATAAAATGCTGAAATACATTATACATGTGTAGTTATCACTTATCCAGCTACTGTTAGTTCATGTTTTCTATATTTTCTGCTCTGTATTATATATTTCATTTCAGCAAAAAAATCCACCGAAAACACATAAAGATTCATAAGCAAGAATATTTTAAAATCCTTTTTAGTAAAATCGGCAGTATTATGTAAATGTATTCATTGCATAAATGTCATGCGCATTCTTGTTCAAAATTTCTCAATCCTCCATAATAACTACTTTGTAATAAAAAAGATTGTCAAATTCAGAATTAATTGACAAAGAATATTGATGATAGAAACTGGTTTCCTTAGGTGATATGTTTAATAGGCTCATATAGTGATATCACCAGAGAAAATAGTTTGGGGATTTTACTGTAGACCAATCATATGTATTTAAAGTAGATTGAATACCTACATGATATGTTAATATGTGATAGAACAGGTGTCTTGAATTGATCTATATGAGATACCACAGTAGATCTAGATTTATTTTTGTTGAGAGATCACCTATAGAAAATACAAGAAGAATTTTCAAATCTATGATCCGCTCACCTCACCATGCAAAAATGATGTAGCTATACTTATAACTACACATACATGTATTAGGATATCTAGATTTGTTTTCGTTGAGAGATCACTTACAGAAAATACAAGAAGAATCTTCAAATCTATGATCCGCTCACCTCACCATGCAAAAATGATGTAGCTATACTTATATATACATGTAAAAAGATATCTAGATTTGTTTTCATTGAGAGATCACTTATAGAAAATACAAGAAGAATCTTCAAATCTATGATCCGCTCACCTCACCATGCAAAAATGATGTAGCTATACTTATATATACATGTAAAAAGATATCTAGATTTGTTTTCATTGAGAGATCACTTATAGAAAATACAAGAAGAATCTTCAAATCTATGATCTGCTCACCTCACCATGCAAAAATGATGTAGCTATACTTATATATACATGTAAAAAGATATCTAGATTTGTTTTCATTGAGAGATCACTTATAGAAAATACAAGAAGAATCTTCAAATCTATGATCCGCTCACCTCACCATGCAAAAATGATGTAGCTATACTTATAACTACATGTACATGTAATAGGATATCTAGATTTGTTTTCGTTGAGAGAATATACTTATAACTACACATACATGTATTAGGATATCTAGATTTGCTTTCGTTGAGAGATCACTTACAGAAAATACAAGAAGAATCTTCAAATCTATGATCCGCTCACCTCACCATGCAAAAATGATGTAGCTATACTTATATCTACATGTAAAAAGATATCTAGATTTCTTTTCATTGAGAGATCACTTATAGAAAATACAAGAAGAATCTTCAAATCTATGATCCGCTCACCTCACCATGCAAAAATGATGTAGCTATACTTATATCTACATGTAAAAAGATATCTAGATTTGTTTTCATTGAGAGATCACTTATAGAAAATACAAGAAGAGTTTTCAAATCTATGATCCGCTCACCCTACCATGCAAAAATTATGTAGTTGTACTTATTAACTACATGTAATAGGATATCTAGATTTGCTTTTGTTGAGCTATTATTAGGAGGCCCCAACGGGGGGCCTCCTATTAATTTTATAGATATTCTTATTATTATTTATTCTTCCTAAACCTTTTTCTCCTACTTCCAACTACCTTTCAACTATCTACTATATGCTCCTACTAGGGACCTTGGCTGAACTTGGCGGGAAAGGAATTTTTATCTAGGTCAAGGTCAAAGGTCAAAATCTAGGTCAAATCTAAGTTTTTTCCAAGTTTCTCAAATCCTGACACTACACTTCAATATTTCTGGCTGAATTTTTGCATACAGATAGATATTAGTATTCTATTAGTCTTAGCCTTTTGCCGTCTAGAGAAATTTTGCCTAGATTTTGAGATATTGAAGGTCAAAAAAAGGTCAAAAAAGGTCTTTTTTCAACTTGCTTCAAATTGACCAAATTTTTTTTTAAAACTCATCTACAAGTTCTCAGGATTCCAAATCTGACATTACTTTTGACCTTTGACCTTTCCTTGACCTTCAGTGACCTCCGAAAGGTCAAAAAAGTTGAATTTTTAAATCGATTTTCTGGATTCAAATTGAGGTATATTTATTCACAAAAGACCTTCTGAGGTGTAAAAAAGTAAAATTTGCAAGGTCAAAGGTCAAGGTCATCGAACGAAATCACAAACTGTGTTTTCTAAGTTTCTCAAAATTGGAGACTACAAATCAATTTTTTTTACTGAAAGTCAGAATATATATTCCCCTAAAGGTTCTACACATATTAGCTATTGACTATTTATTAAAATTTTGCTCCAGTTTTGAGATATTAGAACTCAAAAACTGAAAAAAGGTCAAATTCCGAAATTTTTCAAGGATAAATCTCAACTTGCTCTAAATTGACCAAACTGTTTTTTAAAAAGCATCTATAAGATCTCAGGAACTCAAATCTGACCTTAGTTTTGACCTATGACCTTTTGTTGACCTTCAGTGACCTTCGAAAGGTAAAAAAAGTTGAGTTTTCAAATTAATTTTCTGGATTAAAATTTAGGTTTATTCAATCAGAAAAGTTTTACACATATTAACAATTGATTAGCTATTAAAATTCTGCACCAGTTTTGAGATATTGGACCTCAAAAACTGAAAAATGTCTAATGTTGAAATTTTTCAAGGTCAAATTTCACATTGCTTCAAATTGACCAAACTCTTTTTTAAAAATCATCTACAGGATGCCTGGAGTTCATATATGACCTTGTATTTAAGATTTGACCTTTGGCTGACCTTTAAATGTTCAAAAAAGCCTACGGGGCCTCCGTAAGATTGCTTGCAATCTTATACATCTAGTTATTATATGTAAGGGAAGGTGAATGTTTTGTTAAGATTTTTGAGTTCATCTTTTAGGTATCAATCAGCATTTATGATATTGCTTTGTTATTTGAAATATGTAAAAGAGTATAATGTCACCACATGATTTTTATGTCACCAATTCTACTTATGTCACCACAAGAAGTGTTGACATATTTTTGTAGTCTCCAACTTTTTGTGGTCGGTGTTTGGTAGTATTTATTCGACGGTCGCCAATCGACATCTGCAACAAATGACAGGTGGTGACATTTACGTGTTAACGTCATGTTTATTCTTTGAAAATGATTATATGATTAAGAATTAATTTGTGCAGTCCAGATTAAAATGCTGTAAATAATGTAAAATATATAAAAGTATGATTATTATGTTGTATATAAATCACAATGTATGTAATGGTTATATATGTATGTAAATAACATAGCCCTGCATAAGATAGGCTAAAAGAAATGAATTATCACCTAGAAGACATGTCTAACCAACGGGATCATCGATCTATCCGATTTATCATAGCTTGTTTGATCTACCAAACGTGTGTAAAATGTGTAAACCATTTTCAAGTCCATTAGATTCTGTTGAAGTCCTGGGGTTGAAGTAATGTAAATAATGTACATGCATGCTAGAATGTTAGGGCAAGTGCAAAATAAATGATATTGTTTATAATATTAGGTAATATGGGAGTTGTTTATGAACTATGGTCAAATCAAATCAAGTTAAAATGACAGCAAAGGGCTAACCGCACCAGAGTACTATCTATATCCCCTTTGGCTTCGATTTTAATTTGACTTAGATGTTGACCCAAAGATTAACTTTTTGACATATTTCTGAGGTCATATCCTTCTCATTTTGACGCAATAAAAGCTGTTTAGGAGGGTACACTTACTATAAAGGACATCATGAAAATCAAGGTGAATTTCATCCAAAATACTTCAGAGTTGGTGAGTAAACATAACTTTGAAGGATCTTACCAATGGTATATCACACTAGGTACCATCTATTAAGGTTTTAGCTGTAGCAGGGGGACGGGACTTATTTGACACCCTGTATAATCTAGCTGAAAGTAGGATATGGCTACTCTGATAGAATAGTATATAAATTCAGCTTTTGGAGGGCCTCTTTCCTAATTATAAGAGAGGTTGAGAGCGGTGGCGCTGGACAAAGCAGTGATAACATGATTGTTTTAATTCTAGAATATAAGCCTATATATAAATGCATTATTTTGGCTATATATATAGTTACCATGCATTTTATGTCCCCACCAGACATGGACGGTGTTCAGCAGTTGGTTTTCGACGGTCGGCGTCTGTAGCAAATGTCAGGTGGTGACATTTTGCATATTGATTGATTGGGAGATTTAAAACATTTCCCACTTTGAAAGTGTAAATTCTTCATAAATTCACCAATTCAAATTATTTATATATCCCGGATCTTTTGGGAAATATTGTATTTGAGATTGTAGGGAATAGATCGGTATGACATTGATACACGTCGCTTGCATTTGGGATTGTATGAAATACATCGGTAGGAAAATGATACACCTTGCTTCCACTGTTGTCACTCCCTATCCTGATTCTACCTTTTGCCATTAACTTTACCAGCGCCTCTAAAAACGTGTGATTACATATGACGACGTTGAAGGGAAATGACATACGACAGTCTATGATAGCTGGTTAGAAGATAAACTTAAATAAAGGACATTCGTAAAAAATATTATAACAATTGGTTATAAATCTGAAAAACTTCGATAATAAGTAGAACGCTTAATTATAAACAAAAAGAAGTAACAAATAACTTAATGAACCAACGATTATAAGGAAAAACATTATCGAAATCAACACAACAAAACTGAACGTCACTTACAATCACAGAGAAAATAATTAAAGCGCATTGATCAAAATCATGGTGTACATTGACGAAGATAATGTCACACAACAGGCATTCGATAATGTCACGTTCAAATCGAAGGAACTGATCATTGTTGGGGAGAACATATGGCGATATGGAGCGCCGATTCTTATGGCGATAGGGACATTCGGAAACGTTTGTTCGGTGATTGTGCTATCCAGGAAAAGAATGAGAAAAATAACAATGAATTTGTTTTTACTGGCTCTGGCTATAGTTGACATATCAATGTTGTGGACTGGACTGCTAAGAAAATGGATCGATGTCTTACTAGATGTTGACTTCAGAATCCTTAGCGGGACATCATGTAAATTTCACATTTTTATTCAGTACACACTGAGGTATTTGTCGTCGTGGATCGTGATGATGGTTTCCATTGAGAGATTCATCGCCGTATTTTTTCCGCTGAGGGTGAAGCTTGTTTGTAAAAGGCTGACATTCCTGATTGCGTTATCCACTGTAGTTGTAGCCCTGGTCGGATTGAACTTGCATTTCTTCTGGACATTTGATCTAGTAGAAAAGGATGGTACTTTAAAATGTGAGACCAAAGCTGACTATGTTTCTTATAGACGTCTTTGGTCGTGGGTGAATGCAATGTTTGCATCCGTGATTCCGAGTTTCGTTATGTTTATATCAAGTTCTTTGATCATTGGTAAACTAGTTCTTCGTCGATGTAATACGACGACTGTTACAAACGGTGCTTCGAAACTCGCAAGCACGATATCTATTTTGATTTTGTGTAATTTATTTCTTTTACTTATCCTCCCCTCTGTAATTTACCAAATACGTAGACCCATGGTGTACCCCCCCCCCCGTGTATTCTCAGATTACATGTTAATGGGGGTCATTTTTAACTTTTTACACTATATGAATAACGTCACAAACTTTTTCATATACTGTGTTGCAAGCAAAAGGTTTAGACGGGAACTCGTCTCAATTTTCAAGGCATAACAATAATGCAAATTGTCACCACCACACGGTGGCGCCCTCGGACTTGAATCCGATCAGTTGCTCTCAACGTCGAGTGTTCGCCTTGTTTTCAACACCATATAGATGTAAATAATGATTTTATGTGTGATATGAGCTGTTGTAATTCGCTTGATCATTTAGACCAGGGAAATTTAGACCTAGGAAATGCCTTGGTCACATTTGCTACGATTTTCACTACGGCGCCCCGCCGCTTTGAGTATTTTGTTCAAAATTGAATACAAATTTGAACAAAACACTCAATCGGCCGGGTGCCGGCCGATAGATCGGAGCAAATGTGACCCAGCCATAATGGTTGTATTACTACCATATGGCGTAAAGTGCTTGAGTAATTTTGTGCAAAAGATGCCTAGGTTTAAACTTCAACGGATAATGCGTATCAAAATATACATGCCTAAAATGATTGTATATGCGCTATGTGTATATTTACCTTATGGTGGATGTGTAAAGGCAAACTTAATAGAGTGTCTAGATATACTTGAGGAAATTGTAATTCAATAACAAAGCGATGGTAAGGTTGTTATAATTGAATATCTATAATGTAAGAGGCGCGTATCCGCCATCTTGTAATGGTATGGCTCTTATTGATATTGAGTATGTTCAGAGGTTTCAAAATGTTATAAATCCATCAAATGTCACTTCTATGCACTTTATACCCCACTATAAAGTCTTATTGTATGTCTGCTCGGGACATTCATAGTCGAGTTAGACTCTGTAATTACTCTAGAAAGTATTGTAAAATATGTGTAAAAAAAGCAATAAAGTTGCTTTTGGTAATGACAACTGTACTCAGGTATAACGCATGCGCAAACGCAGTGTGTACAATTCTTTCAGTCAAAATCTCCTACGATGGTAATTTTTGTATACTAAAATTGTAAAAGGAATTGTAAATGCATTACGTATCCATTATTGATGAATTTGAGGCATAACAATAATACAAATTGTCACCACCACACGGTGGCGCCCTCGGACTTGAATCCGAGTATTGATCAGTTGCTGTCAACGTCGAGTGTTCGCCTTGTTTTCAACACCATATAGATGTAAATAATGATTTTATGTGTGATATAAGCTGTTGTAATTCGCTTGATCATTTAGACCAGGGAAATTTAGACCTAGGAAATGCCTTGGTCACATTTGCTACGATTTTCACTACGGCGCCCCGCCGCTTTGAGTATTTTGTTCAAAATTGAATACAAATTTGAACAAAACACTCAATCGGCCGGGTGCCGGCCGATGGATCGGAGCAAATATGACCCAGCCATAATGGTGCTATTACTACCATATGGCGTAAAGTGCTTGGGTAATTTTGTGCAAAAGATGCCTAGGTTTAAACTTCAACGGATAATGCGTATCAAAATATACATGCCTAAAATGATTGTATATGCGCTATGTGTATATTTACCTTATGGTGGATGTGTAAAGGCAAACTTAATAGAGTGTCTAGATATACTTGAGGAAATTGTAATTCAATAACAAAGCGATGGTAAGGTTGTTATAATTGAATATCTATAATGTAAGAGGCGCGTATCCGCCATCTTGTAATGGTATGGCTCTTATTGATATTGAGTATGTTCAGAGGTTTCAAAATGTTATAAATCCATCAAATGTCACTTCTATGCACTTTATACCCCACTATAAAGTCTTATTGTATGTCTGCTCGGGACATTCATAGTCGAGTTAGACTCTGTAATTACTCTAGAAATTATTGTAAAATATGTGAAAAAACGCCGTAAAGTTGCTTTTGGTACTGACAACTGTACCCAGGTATAACGCATGCGCAAACGCAGTGTGTACAATTCTTTCAGTCAAAATCTCCTACGATGGTAATTTTTGTATACTAAAATTGTAAAAGGAATTGTAAATGCATTACGTATCCATTATTGATGAATTTGAGGCATAACAATAATACAAATTGTCACCACCACACGGTGGCGCCCTCGGACTTGAATTCGAGTATGGATCAGTTGCTCTCAACGTCGAGTGTTCGCCTTGTTTTCAACACCATATAGATGTAAATAATGATTTTATGTGTGATATGAGCTGTTGTAATTCGCTTGATCATTTAGACCAGGGAAATTTAGACCTAGGAAATGCCTTGGTCACATTTGCTACGATTTTCACTACGGCGCCCCGCCGCTTTGAGTATTTTGTCAAAATTGAATACAAATTTGAACAAAACACTCAATCGGCCGGGTGCCGGCCGATGGATCGGAGCAAATTTGACCCAGCCATAATGGTGCTATTACTACCATATGGCGTAAAGTGCTTGAGTAATTTTGTGCAAAAGATGCCTAGGTTTAAACTTCAACGGATAATGCGTATCAAAATATACATGCCTAAAATGATTTTATATGCGCTATGTGTATATTTACATGTACCTTATGATGGATGTGTAAAGGCAAACTTAATAGAGTGTCTAGATGTACTTGAGGAAATTGTAATTCAATAACAAAGCGATGGTAATGCCTTGGTCACATTTGCTACGATTTTCACTACGGCGCTCGGCCGATTGAGTATTTTGTTCAAAATTGAATACAAATATTGAACAAAACACTCAATCGGCCGGGCGCCGCCCGATGGATCGGAGCAAATGTGACCCAGGCATTAGGTTGTTATAATTGAATATCTATAATGTAAGAGGCGCGTATCCGCCATCTTGTAATGGTATGGCTCTTATTGATATTGAGTATGTTCAGAGGTTTCAAAATGTTATAAATCCATCAAATGTCACTTCTATGCACTTTATACCCCACTATAAAGTCTTATTGTATGTCTGCTCGGGACGTTCATAGTCGAGTTAGAACTCTGTAATTACTCTAGAAAGTATTGTAAAATATGTGAAAAAACGCCATAAAGTTGCTTTTCGTACTGACAACTGTACCCAGGTATAACGCATGCGCAAACGCAGTGTGTACAATTCTTTCAGTAAAAATCTCCTACGAATACGATGGTAATTTTTGTATAGTAAAATTGTAAAAGGAATTGTAAATGCATTACGTATCCATTATTGATGAATTTGAGTACGAAAATATAAAATCATTTTATGTAATCACGAAAGTATGTTTTTATTTGTCCAAATACATTCCTGATATGGCCCGTGATAATGACAGGGAACATGAAGTTACAGAGCTTCAAAGTCACTCGCCTCCTGTGTTATTTCAATGGGATAAGTTTCTTGAAAAGAAAAAATATTTTGACTGTTTCGTGACCTATAACTTTGTGAAATCTGAAAAATGATTTTTTTCTGTGAAAGAAGATAGCAAATTCAATTGTCTAAGTATTTACTTTTCAATGATCTCGGTTGGATGGATATTCTGTCATATGGAATGATTTCAATTTATATTTCCAGCCCTAGAGTAGTTTCTGCAGATTATCGATTATTAATTGTTCAAACATAAAGAGGCTTTAATAACATGTTATCCAATGGGGAGTCAGTAGTCAAACCTATAACTTATATTTATAGTATTTATATAAGTATTTGCGATACATTGGCGTACGGATGAATATGCCATCTATATATTATATTTTATTCCATAGTTAGCATGATATTCATAGGATAACATGTAAACATAAAACCGGTATTTTTGCAATCAGTGGTAAAATATGATATTTTTGACAAATTTTCACTTAACCATAGCATACGTTTTTTTAGACATGACATACGGCGCCGTATGCGATGGTTTATGGATTTTTGCTACTTCAGACTCAAAACAAGGCTAAGTGTCAACATCGCCGGATCGTTTGGAAAATTCGAATTATATTTATTTCCGACGATTCTGATGATGACTTTAACTATGGACTAAAAAGAACATCCTATGATTTACTCGTGATATGATTTTAATCCACTCATGGATATTGATATCTGCACTCTCTCGCTACGCTCGCTCGTGCAGATATCATATTCATTCGTGGATAAAAATCATATCACTCATAAATCATAGGATATCCTCTATATAATATTCCATATTCCACAGGTGACTATGGGATATTTCGCATTGAACATGAAAGTTGACAACTCGTTAGATAATTAAAATCTGGGCTTTCAGTTATGAAATAATGCTCTTACAGATGCCAGATCGTTGAAAGATAAATTGATAAATCGCTTGGTATCGCATGAAAAGTAATAACCAAATCTAAAAAACAAAGAATACTATACGTTCACATTCGTCATTTTACCTTTTCAGCATCCGGGTCAGCATCTCTCCCGAAGGGAGTGTTTTTATGTAAGTTTGAGACGTGTGTAGGGATAGTAAGGAAATGAGGTTTTACGCAATAATGGTATTGACTTTCAACTCTCGATGCGGTTAACATGACAATGTCACCCTGAGCCTTTTAACTCCAACTTTCCAACACGTATACCACTCAAAACCACTTAAGTCTGAAATTAATTTTGTTAAAAAGTGAAAAAAATTCTAAAATGTTTTTTTCAAATAGACATATAGTATATATCTGTATACAATTGTACATTCGTTACCCAAGGCATTGAAGTAAACTCCAAGGAAAAATAGGCGAATTTTCAAATTGAAATTAGGGTCCGTCTCAAACATGTCGATTTTCACATCTCGACCCCCTGATTAGTATGTCAAGCTATTCAAATTAGAATGCAACGTTTTCAAAAAACCAAGAACGTTCCTCATGGTACTTAACTGTTCTTTAAAATCGCAAATGGATTTGGACTGCAAGCTTTTCCTTTTTGATGTGCATCACTTGTCAACATGAACCAATAAAATTTATCATTTTTCTCGATTTTTTTACTTACCTTTTGTTTTTCATTTGAATAAATTTGAAAGGGTCTACTTTATTGAAACATGAATCGATGCGATCATGAAAAATGATCCTAAATACGATAAAAAAAATGATAACAGTTTTCTTTGGGAAGAACTGATCATTACGCTATTTCACTATTCAATCGCATGTCGATTTTCACAAGACAATTAGAAACAAATGACAATAATTTAGAAAGTTCATTTTAGGGAATGCTTACTTCACGAATCGACATTTTTGATATGTAGGATGTAACTAGCTAAATTGAGAAACATCCAGTTTGTATTTGTATCCAAATATGACCACGTTTATGTAAAATTTCCCGTCAAAACCCGACATACGTAAAACATGATTTGGAGAATCCTGTCGTGTTTCACATTTTATTCTA